GAGTTTCTGAAAAGCAGTACAGTCTCAAAACGATATCAAGTATCAGATGGCAAGCAGGTCATGAAATGGGAACACGGAAAAGAACTGGGGGGAGCGGTGCAGTGAGGCGGTAAGTCCCCCAGCCTCAGTGAAGGAGCTCCCCGTTCTCAGACGGCCAAAGGCCCAAGACAGACCTGTCTTGTGCCATTTTTCTTTCTAAACGATTGCTTAAATGGCCGAACTGCAAAGAGTGAGACAGGGCCAGTCACCCTAGGTCCCCCTGGAAGGCCAAGCCATCGAGCAGAGGGCAGTTTGTGGCTCACCTGTTCATACCGTGTTCTCCTCTAGAAGGCGCAGTTTAGTGAGAAGGAAGGCTGTGGTGGGCTCCAGGAGTCCCGGTCCCGGGGGAAGTGCCATGGTTTCCATGATCGTGGCTTTGCAGGCCTCACATAAAAATGCATAAATAAAAATAAAGGTATTGTGTCCATCTACTACTTCTACAACAACAACAACTCTGTGTGTGTGTGTGTGTGTGTGTATCTGCTCTGTACTCCATTTTAAAAAAAATTTCTTGGTCCCTTTGTTTTCTTCCCACATACCCATGTAATAATTGTCAATATTTGGGGTACAGTTTCCCAAGGGGCTTCTGTGTGTCTAGATATGGAGATGGAGTTTATAGTCCAAAAATGGGATTGCCGCGCATGCTGTGTATAATCTACTTCTGTCCATTAGTCTCTCAAGTACTTTCCCCAGTATCCTATCCCCAGAGTCCTGTAAAATCATCCAGCATCACTTGTTCCAGCACAGTAAACTGCTGTGATTTACTTAGCCTGTGACCTGTCAGACATTGAGGTCAGACCCAGTGTGGAAGTTATTATGAACAAGGCCATCATAAGTGTATTTATAGCTGAATTTTTCCTGTTAGTCATCATTATTTCCTTTAGAAAAATTCTTAGAAATGGACCAACAGGTATCACGGATATCTTTAAGGTACTCTGAAATATTCTTGTCAGATTGTTCTCCAAAAGGCTCTACAATGTGTGTGCGTACACATGTATATCGCTTCACCGACCCTTGTCAACCTGGATGTTATCATTTTTATTCTGTTTGACCAGTGTGGGTGAGAATGCTATTTCCTTTTACTTAAACATTCTTTGACCATTAATGAGGGAGAAAACAGTGATTTTTTTTTCTTTTTAGAAATTATTTGTTCTAATTATATTTTCTAATTACATTTTTATGTTGTTCTAATTACATTTTTAAGCCATCTGGAATTTATTTTAGTAGACTATTTAAAGACTCTAAACTTTTCCAGTGGTTATTCAGTTGTCCCAACGTCATCATTCAGGTAACTCTTGCTGTGATGAGCAAGTGTGAGCAGAAAGAGGTCCATGTTCCTTCTCATTGCTAGAAGCATTCCATGCCTTTCTGATCATGAGGTCCTACTGCTCAGCATTGTATCATAATTTTTTCTGACACCATAGTGCTGTACACTAATGAAGAAAAGAATGTAGTTAGAAACTCATCGCCCTAAAAATGCTGGAAATTAAGGCAATACCCCGCTGGTAGAAGTCTCCCTGTGTCCAGTTTCTCTTCTAAAACCCTTCATTCCACCAAAGCTCGCTCTGAAAACTCAAAGATGCCGCTTTCCTTTGACCTGCAGGTGGCAGACGTCCGCCGTGGCTCTCAGGGCTTAGCCACAGGTTTACAGTCCTGGAGGAGAGAGGTTGGCAGAGGTCTGCCAGCAGGGATTTAGGGCAAAGGCCCTTGGGCAGATCCTTTTGTTGCTGTGTGTGTGAGTCCACAAAGCTGGCTCTGCAGGAGGGGGTTCTCTGGGCCGGCATCTCCCCTTACATACAAGGTTGAGGGAAGTCTCTCCTGCTCACCTGCCTGCTCTGAATTCTCATTGCCAGTTTCAGCCCTGGGAGGTTCTGAGTGGTAGGGAAAGGCACGTGAAGGGGAGCAGCTAGTCGGATGGGTGCTTCCTGAGGCAGTGTGAGGCCAGACCTCGCAGCACAGGGAACGGCAAGCTGAAAATGCCAAGTTAGGGAACTTTGTCACATTTCACCATAATTCTTAAGTTTTTAAGTAAAAATTAATTACCAAAAAGTCATACCATTTTTATAATATTACAGTTTCAAAAATTGGCCAATTATAGATTCAGACCATTATGATGGTGTTACTATCACCCGGAAGCCATTGGTGAGTGAAATAACTTCCTGAATGACCCTATCTGTCTTGACAGTGCGGCCCTATTATTAAATCCCTCCCTGGGCGGGGCAGGGCTCGGTGGCAGAGGCTTGCCTAGCTGGTGTGAGGCCCTGGGTTCTGGGTTCCATCCTCAGCACCACACGATCAGTCAGTCAGTCAATCAGTAAAAATTATTGTGTCTATCTACAACTAAAAAACAAAGGTTTCTAAACAGTGACAAAGATTGGAATGTGAAGGAATTGCTGTTTAATTGTAAAGTTCTAATGTTCAGAAATGACAGTTGCCACTGCTCATCATGGTGGTTGCATCTGGTGTTGTATCTCTGTGAAGGCTAAGACCGGTTGTTCAAGTTGCTGTGACTTGATTTTAATAGTTTGAACCATCTTCACAACATTTATTTTCCTTCCAGAATTGCTTTGTCAGATTTTTTTTTTCCCCATGTAATAATGGAATCTAGTGTGTGGCTTCCTGAAAAATATCTGACACTGCTCAAAACTGTCAAGATCATAAAAACAAAACAGTGCTGGACATGGTGGCTACACCTGTCATCCCAGCGACCTGGGAGGCTGAAGCAGGAGGATCACAAGTTCAAAGCCAGCCTCAGCAGCTTAGTGAAACCCTGTCTCAAAATAAAGAATATTTTAAAAGGGCTGTGGATGTGGCTCAGTGGTAAAGCATCCATGGGTTCAATGCCCAGTACCAAGAAAAAAAAATTGTTCATGCCAAGCAGAGCTCACAGGAGACAGGACAACTGAATATAACATGTCCTGGATGGGTCACAGAGCAGAGAAAGAAAAGATGTTAAGAAACACTAGAGAAATCAGAGTGATTTGGACTCAATATGGACTTGAGCTAATACTTACATATCAATACTGGCTCATTAATCGTGACAAATGTGCCAGAGTAATGTAAGATGTTAATAGTAAGGGAAGATAGACGTGGGGTGCCGTGGTGTGATTGTGTCCCCCCAGAATCAAGTGCTGGAACTCATCTCGGGGGCAGCAGTGTTGGAATGGGGCTGGTGGGGGTATTTAGGTCCCCATAGCTCCCGCCTCCTGAAGGCCCTAAGCAGGATCCTCCCTTCCACTCTTCTGCTGTGTGAGGCCCCGTCCTCCAAGGCCGCTCCTGATCCTGGACTTCCCAGCCTCCAGAGCTGTGAGAAGTAAATTCTCTTCTTTGAATCACTAGTGTGTGGTATTCTGTTACAGCTGCAGGAAATGGACCAAGACTTGAGGCACGTGGGATTTGGGGGGATATTTTCACACTTTTTCTGCAAGTGTAAAATCATCATGTATTTTAAAAATATGTTGGTGTGTTCAAACAACTAATACCACTCAATGCACGGAGGCTAATATACCAAGTAATAGAAACTGGTTTTCCAAGAGTGCCCAGCTGAGGAGGGGAAGCCTGTGGGCTCAGACTGAGGTGCTGCTGCCAAGAGCGCCTCGGAGCCACTGCCTTGCTGGGGAGTGCGGTGCATTCTCAGGGCTGAAAATGCCCAGGATGCGGACACGCCCCCTTGCTGCCGCTCCACTTGTCCTTGTGCAAAATCAATGCTGTTTCAGTGGAGACTTATTCACATTTTGGATTCCCTCTTTTCCTGGGCTGCTAGGGTACCATCAGGGTGAGGTGGCTTTCTGCAGCCAGCAGTCATGTGGGTGGACCCTATGCTCTGCAGGGAACGGCAAGCTGAAAATGCCAAGATAGGGAACTTTGTCACCACACGCTGTGTTGCCAGCGTGTGTGCGTGCAGGTATTTGATGGGCCACATAGGGTGTTCAACACTTCATCACAACATGGGCTTCGAGCAGGACACACACCTGCAGCTCCTCAGGCTGAGGCAGGAGATCATAAGGTGAAGATCAGCCTCAGCAACTTGATGAAATCCTATCTCAAAAAATAAAAGGCTGTGGGATGTGGCTCAGTGATAAAGTACACTTGGGTTCATTCTCTAGTACCCAGAACAATAAAGTGAAATATTTTGTTAGATTATTTTGCCCCACTGTAGGCAAATGCTTGTGTTTCAAGCGTGTTCAAGGTGGGCTAGGCTAGGCTAGGTGTGTTAATGCACTTTCCATTTACAATGAGCTCGTCAGGATGTAAGCCCTGTAAGTTGAGGATGAGTATAAAAAGAACTAGCCTCACCCCCAAGTGTACATAGTCACCTCCATCTGGAGCAAATGACCGGAAAAAATGTAAAGTTGATACTATTATATACCACAATATGTAACAAAGTCTTTTTTCAGGTGATTTTAAGGGTTTTTTTTTTTTAATATCTTTGTTTATTTTTATGTGGTGTCGAGAATCGAACCCAGTACCTCATGCACACTAGGCGAGCGCGCTACCACTTGAGCCACATCCCCAACCCCATTTTTTAAGTTTTTTTTCCTGAGATTTTTTTCCCCCCATTTCTTTTGCCATTTTTCTTGGCAGTCACATTAGAAATTTTCCCAGTATGTTTATCTGGTGATGTGAAGAAAATTCTCTGTACGCAGTCTGCTATGCAAGTGAATTGGGACACTCAGTCTGTTGACAGTATTAAGCACTGGTTTGATGTCCCAAAACAGTAGATGTGTTTCCTGTGTTGACCTCAGAGCAGACTCCTCAGCAGGCTTCCCCTGGGGTAAATGGTGAATAGCACTGGAGCAGGCAGCAGCCCCTCCCTCACCACTTAGCTGAACCGGAGGTTAAAATGGGTTCTTGTTAACATAGTTTAAATGTTTTAAATAGCATTAGTATTTCTTGTCTAAAAGTAATAGGCTTCTATTCATACAATCATTTATTTCCTTCAAATAATCATTTGTTTCTAGATTCTGAAACTTTGAGAATCTCATGGGCCAGTTGTCAAAATGCAGATCCCCAGAGCCAGAAGCTATCTTTTAATTGAAGCCTGATCAGGTAAGTTTCTTAACCCTAGCTACACAAAGAGACCCCCTAAGGAGCTTTTAAAACTACCTGTGCCCCAGAGCAGAAGCCAGGGACCAAGCAGGAGAGGAGGGAAGGGAAAGGCCGGGGAGTGAAGTTGACCAAATCATGCTGTGTGCACATATGAATATGTCACCTTGCATCCCAATTTTATATATAACTATAATGCACCAGTTAAAAATAAATAGAAGAAAGACTAAGAGAGGAAGGGGATCAAAGCTGGGCACTGTGGCACACACCTGTAATCCTAGCGGCTCAGGAGGCTGAGGCAGGAGGATTGCAAGTTCAAAGCCAGCCTCAGCAACTTAGCCAGGCCCTAAGCAACTCAGTGAGACTGTGTCTGAATAAAATATAAACGAGGACTGGGGATGTGGCTCAGTGGTTAAGAATCCCTGGCTTCAATCCCTGTTACCAAAGAAAGAAAGGGATCAAGGGAAGAGAGGAAGGCAGGAAAGAGGAAATAACAGGGATTGAATGGAGCAGAATATATGCATTTATGAATATTCCAAAATGAACCCCACTTTTATACATGACTATAATGCACCAAAAGAGAGGGTTTAATGAGAATAGTTTTAGAGATAAGAAAATTACCAATGCCTCAACATACCCCCATCACTCCTTAGGTTTTAATTTCTGATTGTGGGGTGGTGCCTACACACCAGGTTTTGTTTTGTTTTGTTTAATTCCCTGGCTAAGGCTAGTGTGCAGTCAGGGTCCAAAACTACTAGTTTTGTACATGGAACCAAAATTAACTAGAAAAACCTGTACGTACCTCTTTAGGTCTTTTTTAGACACATGGACTCTTGAATGTGGCAAGGGATCTCACCAGCATAAGGCTGAGTGAAAGAAGCCAGGTACAGAAGAGAAATAGTAATTAGGACTAACTGCTGACAGGTGTGGGGTTTATTTTGGCAATAGAAACATCCTGGAATTAGTGTTGATTACACAACATAGTGAATATACTAAAAAACATTTAGAGTGTACATTTTAGAGTGGTGAATTTTATGTCGATATAGACAAATAGCCTTAAATACTCCATCTTTGTAATTTCGGAAACAGGCATAGCTAAGCCAAAGTGTTGGATGCAGGGTAGAGGTTCTCTCTGGGGAGGAAGAGGGAGTGCAGGAGGGCTGGGGGCTGGCGCTACACTTACTCCTGACCTGGGGTGCACCTGGCAGTGTACAGAGGTCACTTTGTGACCATTTTTTGAGCCCTGTGTTCATGACTCATGCTTTGGGGAGACTCAGACATCAAGGGAAGATTAGAAGATGTCTACACTGAGAGTGAAGGAAGGCTGGCTGGGACTCTGCTTTAACCAGCAACCAAAGCAAGTTTCCAGAACATGGAGATGATTTTTGAGAGTAGAGGTCGTGATATTGGCGTGTTTATTACCAAAGAAGGGTGTAGAATTGTCTTTGAACTCTTGCTGTAAAATCAGTTCTGTCTTGGATATTATCTTGTGGTAACGGACAGATGATATTTGGGATCTAATTCAGTCTGCCTTTAATTTGTTCTACTTTTTATTCTGGAAATCAAAATGTCAAGAGCTTTGAATTCCCATGGCCTCACCATAGAAACTTGGGCAATTCATGTATTTTTAGTTGTGACAGGATTTGTTGTTGGAATCACAGAAGAATGCCACCACACCAGACTCGTTTCCTCCTTTAATGTCCTAATTTTACAGATGAGGAAACGGCTTATAGGATCTATAAGTTAACTACTGGTAAAGGCCATTCTCACATTTCTTTCCCCACCATTTCATTGTATTTAAGTTATATCTTTTTTTTCTAAGTATTTTAACTTGTTAATATATTTTTCGTAGGTATACTGAGGCATTTTAGCTTTTATTTATTTTCTTTAAAACTTTATGGTAGGGGCTGGGGTTGTGGCTCGGCGGTACAGCGCTCACCTAGCACGCGTGAGGCCCTGAGTTCGATCCTCAGCACCACATAAAAATAAATAAATAAAATAAAGGTATTGTGTCCAACTACAACTAAAAAATAAATATTAAAAAAAACTATATGGTAGGTGCTAGAGTTGTAGCTCAGTGGTAGAGCACTTGTCTTGTACACATGAGGCACTACGTTTGATTCCCAGCATCACATATAAATAAGCAAATAAAATAAGGAACCATCAACAACTAAAATAAATATATATGCTTTATGGTAAATAACTCAGTTTTTTTAGATTCCACTGTTTAAGCATCCTTTAATACATTATTAGCACAAATTTAAGAACTTCCTCAGGATCCCAAAACTCCTCCAAAATTCTGTTAGAACTAATATACAAATTTGGCAAAGTAGCAGGTTACAAAATAAACATACTTTCCTATAAAACCAATAGCTTGCTTATATACCAACAATGAATCTGCTGAGAAAAAATCAGGAAAACAGTTCCATTCACAATAGCCTCAAAAAAAAAAATATATACCTAGGAATAAATCTAACTAAGAAGGTGAAAGACCTCTGCAATTAAACTATACAACACTAAAGAAAAAAAATTGAAGAAGATCTCAGAAGATGAGATCTCCCATGTTCACGGATAGCCAGAAGTAATGTCGTTAAAATGGCCATACTACCAAAAGCAATATACAGATTTGATGTAATCCCCATCAAAATACCAATAACATTCTTCACAAAATTAGAAAAAAACAGTCTTAAAATTTATTGGGAAAAATTAAAGACCCAGAATAGTCAAATCAATTCTAAGCCAAAAAAGCATTGCTGGGGGTATCACAATACCTGACTTCAAATTATACCACAGAGCTATCCTAACAAGAACTGATTGATACTGGCACAGAGACAGGAGGATCACCAGTTCAGAGCCAGCCTCAGCAATGGCAAGGCACTAAGCAACTCAGTGAGACCCTGTCTCTAAATAAAACACAAAATAGGGCTGGGGATGTGGCTCAGTAGTCGAGTGCCCCTGAGTTCAATTCCTGCTAACAACAACAACAACAACAAAAAAGTACACATAGACCAGTCCAGTGGTTCAGAATAGAAGAAACAAAGACAAACCCACACATCTACAGTCATCTGATCCTTGATAAAGGTGCCAAAAACATGCACTGGAGAAAGAACAACCTCTTTAACAAATGGTGCGGGGAACACTGTTATTCATATGTAGAAGAATGAAACTAGATTCTTTATCTCTTGCCTGCACAAAAATCAACTCAAAATGAATCAAAGACCGCGGATTTAAGTCAGAAACCATGCAACTCCTAGAAGAAAACAGGGCAACACTCCAGCATATACGCCCAGGCAACGACCTTCTCTTTAGGACACCTAAAGCTCAGGAAATAAGGCCCAGAGTTGTTAAATGATATGACATCAAATTAAAAAGCTTCTGCACAGCAAAGGAAACAAGATTGTGAAGAGAGAACCTACAGAATGGGAGAAAATCTTTACTAACTTCACTTCTGACAGAAGATTAATAGCTAGAATGTATAAAGACCTCAAAAAACTTTACACAAAAAAAAAACTCCAATAAATTTGGCAAATGAATTATACAGACACTTCTCAAAAGAAGAAAAACAAATGGCCAGATATATGAAAAAAAAATGTTCAACATCATTAGCCATTAGGGAAATGCAAATTAAAAACTACACTGAGATTTCATCTCATCCCAGTCAGAATGGCAGCCATCAAGAATACAAATAATAAATACGGAGAGAATGTGGAGGAAAAAAAACCCTTTTACACTGTTGGTGGGACTGTAAATTACAACCACCACTATGGAAATCAGCACGGAGGTTCCTCAAACACAGGGCATGGAACCACCCCCTGGCCCAGCTTCCCCTCTCCTGGTACTGACCCCAGAGAGTCAACGTCATCATACCACAGTGGTCTGTACACACCGTGTTGACAGCAGCAATTGTCAAACTCTGGAACCAGCCTAGGTGTCCATCCAGAGATGAATGGATAAAGAAAATGTGGTATATACCACAATGGAGTTTTATTAGGCTGTAACGAAGAATGAAATTATGTCGTTTGCAGGAAAATAGATGGAGAACATAATGTTAAGTGAAAATAAGCCAAACTCACAAGTCAAGGGTCGTATGTTTTCTCTCATATGTGGAAGCTAAAGATGAAAAAGGAAAAGAAAGGTGAGGGTGGGTCTCATGAAAAAGGGAGATCAGTAGAAGAAAGGGCCCAAGGTGTGCAAGGTGGAGAGAAGGGGGGTGCTGGGGAGTGAATATTGGCTAAGTTACATTGTTGTGTTGTATTATATCCCACGTTATTAACAGCTATAATGCACCCATAAAAATGTGAAAAAACCCTTCTCAGTGCAAAGTACCTTTCTTTGTTTTTGTTGTTGTTTTACATTAATTTATTTATTTCAGTTAGGTATATGTGATAGCAGAATGCATTTTGATTCATTGTACACAATTGCAGCACAACTTTTCATTTCTCTGGTTGTACACCATGTAGCGTCACACCACATGTGCAGTCATTCATGTACCTAGGGTAATGACGTCCATTTCATTCCACCATCTTTCCTGCCCCCATGCCCCCTCACCACCCCTTCCTTCTCTTTGCCCAATCAAAGTTCCTCCATTTTTCCCATGCTCCCCCCCATTATGGATCAGCATCCACTTATAGAGAACATATTTGACATGTGGTTTTTTGGGATTGACTTACTTCACTTAGCATGATATTCTTCAACTCCACCCATTTACCTGCAAATACCATAATTTTTTTCTCTCTTTTAATACTCAGTAATATTCCATTGTGTATATATACCACAGTTTCTTTATCCATTCATCTACTGAAGGGCATCTAGGTTGGTTCCACAGTTTAGCTATTGAGAATTGTGCTGCTGTAAACATTGATGTGGCTGTGTCCCTGTAGCATGCTGTTTTTAAATCTTTTGGGTATAAACTGAGGAGTGGGATAGCTGGGTCAAACTGTGGTTCCATTCCCAGTTTTCCAAGGAATCTTCATACTGCTTTCCATGTTGTCTGCACCAATTTGCAGTCCTACCAGCAGTGTATGAGTGTTCTTTTCCCCACATCCTCACCAACACTTTATTGTTGTCTATGTTCTTGATAACTGCCATTCTGACTGGAGTGAGATGAAATCTTAGAGTAGTTTTGATTTGCATTTCTCTAATTTGTTGTGTTTTAGTATTGGTATTATTTTCTTTCTTCCACCTTATACTGAGTTTTCTAAAATGGTAATACTCCAAGAGAATACCCATCCCCCCTTCCTCATGCCGTTTCCTTTTTTAGCCACAGGTTGGTAACAGCTGTTGACCGCTGGGTTCACTGTACCTCCCATTCTACTGCTGAGATGACAGCAAGGAGCCCTGGGCCTCCTGTTTCTAGTATGCTTTCCACTTCCTTTGCAGCAGTTTGGCTAATGAGTGAACACAGCAGAGTTCATTTGGGGGAATCACCAATGCTCTAACTATAGAAAAGATCTGGAAGTAATTGTTCTAGTGTCAGGCTTCAGACATTCATGCCTGGAGGTGTCCAAGTGGGGGGCACCCACTTCATAAAGGGAACGAATAATAAATTCTGTTACTCTGTGTTTCTTAATGCACATTCTGTCCTCACCTGTTATTTAAATGTGCCCCAAAGCTCATGGGTTAGACACTTGAAACCCCAAAGCGAGGGTGCGGGGAGGTCGGGCCCGGTGAGAGCACTGATGTCTCTTAGCTCCGGGGCGGGCTCTCTGCTATGGGCCAGCAGTGCCAAGGCCCTCCCCAGATGCCACTGTCCTGCTTTAGAGTTCCCAGCTCTAGAGCTGGAGCTGGGCAAATGGCCCCACTTGGGCTTTCTGCTCTAGCTCTGAGAACAGACCTAAGACAGTGATATCATTCATGATCTGCACATTTGCAAAGGCAAAGAGGCCTGGTCTTTGCCTCAGCTCCTGGGGTGGGCTTGCAGCCCTTGGAATGTGCTTTCTGGTCAGAGTGCCTTTGTCTTTCCAGGGACGGGGGACCACCTTCATCACCTAGCAGTGCGAGGGCTGGAGAATAAGGGCATGAGCCCACCCAGTGAGGAGTGGACCTGGAGGTGTGGGTGAGGTGCCCTGAAGCCTGCACTCCTGGGGCTCATGTGGTCTGTCTCCTTACTGCAATAAGCCACAGTGTGAACATGGCACTTTCACTGAGTCATATGAGACCTTTTGGTGGATCATTGAACCCGAAGGTGGTCTTGGAGACAACAAAATGGCCTTGGCACTACCAAACTCTGTTCGGGTATGAAAGAAAAGGTTGGCACCTTTATCAAGTTAATCTAGGTTATGTTAGCAAATTGATTATCTATTTGCTTCCCAAAGCTCTAGGAAAAGGTAATATTTTTATTTTTTTATTTTATTTTTTTTGAGAGACAGAGAGAGAATTTTTTAAATATTTATTTATATTTTTTTTTAGTTTTCGGCAGATACAACATTTTTGTTTGTATGTGGTGCTGAGGATCGAACCCGGGCCGCACGCATGCCAGTGAGCGCGCTACCACTTGAGCCACATCCCCAGACCAGAGGTAATATTTTTAATGGTGTATATCTTAGTTGATTTGTGCTGCTATAACAAAATACTTACAGATGAGAAATTCATAGCAATAGAAATTTATTTCTCACCATTCTAGAGGCTGGAAGCCCAAGATCAAGGCAGCAGATTCAGCATCTGGGGAGGGTCTTCTGAGATTCTGCTAGGAACCCTGTTGCTGTAGCCTCGTGTTGCAGAAGGACTAGAGGACAAAAAAGGACCTAGCTAGTTTCCTCTAGATTTTTTGGGATCCATTCATGAGGGCTCTCCTCTCATGACCCAGTCTCCTCAGCCCACCTCTTAATACTATCCCATTAGTGATTAAGTTTCCATGTAAATTTTAGGGGGACACATTTAAAGTAAACGTAAGGCCATTTATGTCAAAAATAAATGGTGGCCAGATTTCACCTACTCTGACTGTGAGTTCTGTATCTGTTTTCTTCCCTTGGGTTATATTGTTCATGCCTTCCTCGTTTATTGGCCACATCAAAAATTGTTGCAGGGGGTGCGGCAGTGGGAGGGGGGTGAGGTAGGGGTGTGTGTGGGGGGGTGGCTGGAGTTGTGGCTCAATGGTAGCACGCTTGCCTAGCATGTGTGAGGCCCTGGGTTCAATCCTCAGCACTACATAACATAAAATAAAGGTATTGTGTCCTACTACAACTAAATAAACAAAATATTTTTTAAAAATTGTTGATGGCTTTAGCACCCCTTAAAACTTTCTCCTGGCTAGTTTCCATGAAGTCGAAGGCCCAAGAGCTGAGGCCATAGTCCACAGGTGTCTTGAGCCCTGACACCCAGCATGGTTCTGGATTCCTCTGTAGGAGAAGGGGCCGAGGCAGATTGTCAGCAGAGAATGCTGGAGAAAGAGGCTGAGCGGCCCTGCCCTCCTGTGCTCTTGCTCTCTGGTCTTTCTGAACCTCTGCTTCACTGTGGCACAGGGTCTAGACCTGGTCGTTCAGCCTCTCCCAGCTGCCTTCATTCATGGGAAGATGCTCTTCTCAAGGGAAGCCTTGTGCAGAAGCCCCAGCAAGCTGATGTCGGAGGGGAGGGCACAGGGCGCTGGACCACCTCCTGCTGACGGCCCTGCCCACTCTCCTTGTCCCAGCACCGCTGGGCACCCGCTGCGCTAGTCAGCTGCCACAGACCTGTCGGCCTCACAGTACTGTCTTCTCGAAGCAACAGCAAAATGTGTTTTACATAGGATGACCCCAGATACTGTCTGATGGGCAAACAAATTTTGTTGGATTCACAGTTTTGCTTTGCATTTTTAACACGGCATCTGCAGTGTACAGTGGAATTCAGTTCAACTTCTGAAGAGACAGAACAAAGGACAAAATAAATTGGAAGCCGAAGCCATCATTCTCCTCCTCCTTTTCCAACTTCAGTCCTGTTAATGCTAAATAGATGGTGAGACATAACAAGCCCAGAAAGCTCCGTGACCTGGGCGCTCATCTTACTTATTATCTTTTTTTTTTTTTTTTTTTTTGACGACATTGGGGATTAAGCTCAGGGCGCTCTAACACTGAGCCACATCCCCAGCGGTTTTTATTTTCGATCTGAGACAGCTGCCCAGCTGCCCTTCCACTCAGGACCTCTCGCTCAGCTTCTGAGTTCTGGGATTGAGGCGTGGCCGCGCCCAGCTCTGGGTGCTTTGTTCTGCTGGGGGCTGCCATCTTGAGTCTGCTGGGAGAAAAAGAACTCAGTGAACATGATATAGTAAAGCAAAACCAAGGGCTAGACTTAAAGTGCTTCCAGAACAGACTTCAAACAAGTCCTCTTAAAGGTCTTTGGAAAACACTAAACCAGGATCGAGTATGAGCACTATTCTGTGCTGTGTCTAACAATGAGTATTTCCATGGCATAAAATGCTAAATACTTTATGAGTAGTATGTTAATAAATATACGACTATTACTACTAGTCTACACTTGTGTGTTCGATATATTTGTATTGCAATTACTAATGCATTTGAACTGAAGCATTCACAGCCTTATTTCTTACTTGTTTCTTTCCTTTTTGTTTTCTTCGCTGCTATTTGTCACTGATCCGCTAGCTAGAGGAAGGTTATACGTTCAGTTTGTATTCTCGAGTGATTACTCGATTTTAACATGCATATTTACGTTCCCGGCATTAATCAGCGTATGACCGTCCTCTCAGACATCCTCAGCATACAGCTGTGCCTCCTGGACCTGGGCCAGTGTCTCCTCTCACATGCCTGGGTGGAGGCAGACACATCCTTGCCCCCGCTGCAAGGGGCAGTAGCCTGCACTGCTTCTCTTCTGAAGCTGCGGATAGTCTGGTCCTCGCACTGCAGTCTTCCTTAGTGGTCCTGTGAGGCTTGTTTTCTTCTTGGATTCCTCTCCACCTCCACAATCTGACTTTGTCTCCTCTGTTTTAAACATGTCTGGGTCTCCAGTATTGGTCCAGGCTACCGTGTTGACCGCAAGTCTCAAAGACTTCTTACACATCATCCCAGCACGTGTAGAGCTGTGATGGCTAATCCACACCATCGCTGGGAAAGATGAAAGAGAAATTTTACTTCACATTTTCTGACCTAAGATCTACCATGATTTCTCTTACCCCCTCAGTTATTTCCTGAAGTCATTTCTGGGCTCCTGTTTGATTCACAGCACATTAGTCAAGTTCCGCCTTCTGAGGACAGCTCTGTGGACTCCCTGCGTCCCAGCGTGTTACCTCATTTCTACAGCATAGCTTCTCTTTTCTTTAATATTTTTAGTTGTAGATGGATACAATATCTTTATTTTACTTATTCATTTTTATGTGGTGCTGGGGCTTGAACCCAGTGCCTCACACATGAGAGGAAAGCTCCGTACCACTGACCTACAGCCCCAGTCCTCCCCCTCCTCCCCCTCTTGCCCCTCCTCCTCCCCCTCTTCCCCCTCCTCCTCCCCCTCCTCCTCCCCCTCCTCCCTCTCCTCCCCCTCCTCCTTCTCCTCCTCCCTTTTTCTTCCTTCTTTTGTTTTGATACTGGGTAGTTGAACCCAGGACACTTTACCACTGAGCCACATCATCAGTGCTTTTCATTGTTTATTTTGAACAGGGTCTTACTAAGTTGTTAGCACCTCATTGAGGCTGGCCTTGAACTTAGGATCCTCCTGTCTTAGCCCCCTAAGTTGCTGGGACTACAGGTGTGTACCGTCGTGCCTGGCTCTACCAGAGTGATTTTTCAGGAGTTGCTTTAAGCATCTTTTATTCCACACCCAGTATCAAGGGACATGAAAGCAGTGAGGGCTTGAATGATCTATCGGAGGCCCAGGTTTACTGAGCCCCCCAACTTTTACCTCTCTTAGGTGGAAGTAAAGACTGTCTGTCACCTTTACTCATGAGTCCACAAAAACGAACTGACTCCTGAAAACCAAGGGCAAGAGCTTTCCCTGAGTGCCATCAAAGTAACTGACTTTTGAGAAATTATACTGTTTCGCAGTGTTTCAGGTAAATGCATTTTTTTAAAGAATTATTCTCAGTTTCACTGTGTTGGTATTTCCAGATTCTCAGTTCACACTGTTCTAGAATGTATCCTGATGTTCGTTATTCATTCAGTAAACTTTTTTGGGGGGGCTGCTATTCAGTGCTAACCACTAGAATCACAAAGATAAGGGAGAGAATAAATACCCGGGGAAATGGGTGCCAGGGTGCCACACACAGACCTTGCTAGGAATCCCTGAGGAGGAGCACCCACTCCCTGGAGGAGGGTGGGACAGAAAGGGTGCACGAGTTCAAAGGCCTGGGCATGTCAGCACAGCGCAGGTCTGTCCGTGCTGGGCGTAAATAGAAAGGGCGACTGGAAGGGACCGTCTCCCCAGATGCAGGTGTTTGTACTCATTCTGGAAGCACTGGGAAGCCTAGGAAAGGCTCTAAGCAGAGAAGCAGATTTTCTCTAGCTACAGATCTTCTCTAGTTAATCTGCTCATGGGGACTTGATCTTATTCACATGCGAGGGCCCCACCTCCATAGAGGCCCTCTGCAAATCTAAGCATTTTTAATGGAGGGAGAATAAAATGACTTCTGCGTAAGATAGAGACTAGTTTTACAAGGTTTCTCTTTACGTTGCAGTGGCTCAAAAGGCCTTAATAAAAACGAGGGCCCCGAACTTATTCTTACTGTGAGCAGAGCATGCTGTAGCTGACCAGAGTGGGCAGAGTCCTGGTTTTGAATACAGCAGTCCCCGTGGGTTCCGTGGCATCCCTCAGAGCCTCTCTTCATCCTGTTGATGATCTGGTCCTTGGCCCTTTTCCTATTCCTTCTGAAATCCAACATTTTACCTTTAAAGCATTCTACCACATTCACAAATGGGGTCAAGAATGAAAAAAATGGTTGATTTTATAAACATTTTAGAATAGCATTTTCACAGGAAGTCCCTAAATGCCATGTGCTTTCTTGAGGGCCTTGGTACAGAGGTATATTTATGCCCTTCAGAGAGTCAGAGTCATATAGAGAAAATATATTATTCTCTGCTTCATTCCAATTTTGTTATTAATAAAATGTGTATGGAATATTGAAACAAAATTTAAAATAGTATTAATTTATTTTCCTGGTGGTGATGGTGATTGTTTAATTCGTTGACAGTTAAGTGACCAGAAAGAAAAAAAAAATCATGAATTTTGTCTTATATATTTTAATAACTTGAAACAAGTTTTGCCAAATAATCTATACTTTTACTGACACATGAGCTAAAATTCCAAATGTTTGCTGTATGTTTGCCTCTGTGCCAACACAGGTTGTCCTTACAAAGCATTGCTGTTCTAATTGAGATATATTTATTGATGGTATGGCTGAACTTGTCGAGGTTGATTAGGAGCATGGATGACATATAGCTAATGTGCTGATTCCATGTATTTATCACTAACGGGAGCCTTATACTGTATATAAGTGTTTACTTTATACTGTACATATTTTTAAGTTTATGAAGTTATAGTAATTAAGAAGACAGTGTGTTACCAGCATGGCATCATCAAACAGACCAATGATGCAGGAAAATAGCTTCACAGTAGGCCCTATCACATCACAGAAACCTAACTCGTGAGGCAGTAGAGTCTGATGGAAAGTAGCTCTCCCCAGGCCCAACAGTGAGCCTCGGGCCTTAGACAAATACGGAGTGTCAGTGACTGCAGGAGTGTAAATGTGATATGTCACAGCCTAGATGTGAAGCACAACAGCTTTGGGGACAGGAGAAACCCTTGCCCTTGGGTTATACGAAGAATTCTGAGATATGATACCAAGAGTATGACTCTTTTTAAAAAAATTAATAAATTGGACTTCAAAATTAAAAGTTTGTGTTCTGAAAATCCCTGTTATAAAAATGAAAAATAAGTCACAGACTGGGAGGAATATTTACAAGTCATGTTTGTGTACAGAAATGCAAATAACTCCTCAAAGTCAACAATTAAGAGAACAACCAATGCCCTAAAATATGGATAAAGGTTTTTGAAAAGATGTGTTACCAAAATGCCTCAAACCAAAATTCAATTTTTTTTAGTATATTCAGAGAGTTGTGCAATCAGTCTTTAGTAGATTCATCGAGTTGGCTGGCCAGCAGAAAGATCCAGCATCATTTGTCAGTAGACTAATACAAGAAAAATGCAAGTTAAAACCATAGTGAGATACCACTACATGCCTATTACAATAGTTAAAGTTGTTGGGTGGATAATGCAAATTACAAGGATATTGAGGAACTGGATCTCTCATGCAAACTGGTGGGGTGCAAATGAGCATAGCCATTGTGGAAAAGATAAAGTTGACCATACACTTACAGTCTGACTCAGAGATTCTTCTCCTACATTTTTACCCAAGTGAGATGAAACCTGTGTTCACATACACATTTGTATGCCAATGTTTACAGCAGCTTTATTTAGAATCTTGCAAAACTGGAACAATCTAGATGTCCCCAGCTGGGGAAACTGGTATACCCGTAGGAAGGGGCATGGGATGCACATAGGTGAGGCTCAACACACGGCTCCTCGTCGGGCGGTTCTATTCCCAGGCCATCCCGGGGAAGGCAAAGCTCCAGGGAAGCACAGGTCAGTGGCGGCCCAGGGATCAGGAAGGACTCACACCCACAGGTGGGCGAGAGGATGTGCCCTGCTTAGAAAACAACCTGGCCGTTCCCGCGCAGTCTGCAGGGTTGCCACGCAGCCCAGCAGCCCACTCCTGGATGTTGAAAACCTACGTCCACACAGAAACCTGGGCATGATATTTACAGCAGCATTATGATAGCCAGGTGCCCATCAACTGGCAAGTGGGTACATAAAATATAGAATATCTAATACCATAAAATACTACTGGTAATAAAAAGAAACGAAGTACTGATACGTGCTGCAATGTGGATGAACCTTGAAAATAATGTGCTGAGTGAAAGAAGCCAGTCACAAAGGACACAGGACTCCTTCTATATAAAACGCCCAAACAGGCATATCCATAGAGGCTGAACGGTCAGCGGTTGCCTTGGACTGGAGAGTCTGGGGTCAAGTGGGCGGTGGCTGGTGGGGCTTCCTCTGGACTGATGGAGCGTCCTAGGCTGATCATGGTGGTGGCTGAGTGTGCTGTCTGAATGTGTGAGAATCACTGAAGTGAGCGGCGTGCAGGGCACGTGGACTGTATCTCAAGGAAGCCATTGTGAAACTGTGGAGTGCAGAGTGCGGTCTTGCTCCTGTCAGGACGGGCGCAGCTCGGGGGCAGCACTGCCCAGCAAGTGCACAGCCCTGAGCTCCATCCCCAGGGGGCAACTGAGAAAGGGAAGGAGGAAAGAAACCTGAGTGATAAAAACGAGGTCAAGACTAGAGTTGTGATGAAGACTGAGGAGCTACTGAGGGAGAAGATCCAAGGGTTAGCCATGTAAAAATGTGGAAATCTGGGTGTCAGAAGGCCCCCAAGTTAAAAAAAATCAGAAATAAAATATTTTCAACAAGTATGTAAAGAAAGTATCTTTACTATGGGGAGAGCTCACACAGATCAATAAAGAAATCATTTGTCTTATTTGATTAATAAATGTATATTATATTCCTATTTATTTTTGCAATGAAATAATTAAATAATTAGAAGCAATAACTGAGGGCTGGAGTTGTAGCTCAGTGCTTGAGCACTTGCCTCGCAAGTGTGAGGCACTGGGTTCGATCCTAGCACCACGTAAAAACAAATAAAGGCATTGAGTCCATATACAACTAAAAAAATTACAGAAAAAACACAATAACTGGTATAACTGCCACATTGTGTTCTCTACAGTTTGAAGAAAATTGACAGAAAGTGTGATTTACTCTTACTTCAGGAATGAGCATGAGTCTTCTTCCTGCCCTAACTCAAAGAGTCCTGGCTGCTTGGTTGAACTCTTTATGGCGACTTCTTTTGATTTCTCACCTGTGTCCATTCAGCAGGCAAGGTGACGCCCAGGCCAAAGGCTGCCGGTCTGGCCCGTGGAGACAGGGGCCCTTTAGCGTTGGGCAGTTTGTTGCTTATGTAGACTACAAAAAGGAGCGACCCAAGGTGCTAGTGACCGTGGGCACTGGGAAGGACCAGGAGGAAACAATCACCCTGTGATGAGGCCAGCGCCGTGCCCTGCTGTGAGGAGCGAGGGGTAGCGCAGCGAGGGGGAGAGACCCCCCGTCAGTCTCCTTGAAGACAGGGAGCAGCAGAACTGTTGGCTGTCGCCAGCTCAAATGCTCACCACCTTAGGGAGGGGCCACCCTGTCAGGCCAGACTGCAACCTCAGCCTGTCCCATGTGGCCACTGGCCTCTCCAGGACACAAGGCCACCAGGACCCTGGACAACACGTCCCAAACCCCTTCATGGTCTGCAGAGGCCGTGGTGCCTGCTAATGTGCAGTGGCACTTTCCGGCTTCTGAAGGCAGCCTGTGAGCTCCATCTGTACAAAACGCCTGAGGCCTCCTCCCTGTTCCCACCCTGCCACCAGGAGTGACAAGTGTGCACTGACCATTACTATGTGATAACCAGGACGTGGCCCCTGGAAGCAGCAGCCCTGCCCAGAGTGTCACGACCTGTGTGGCAGGAGCTCCCTGCTCTCTGCCTGGCTCTCAGGAGGCCCAGGACGGCCGTGGCCAGGAGGACTGCCATGCGCACGGTGCGTTGGCCCTGCTCCCCGTGGCCGCTGTCTTCAGAAGCTGGCTGGCTGCCTCATGTGTCAGAATCAGTAAGAATGCCTGGGCGAAAGCCCTTCTGTTCCCATCACTGTTACACCAACGGCCACAGGAGCAGAGAACTAGGAAACCACAAGACTGTCCCAGACAGAATTCACAAGAGAAGTGGGGCACCCAGGCCTGCTTCTCTGTGCCAAGCCACCTGACCCGTGTGCTTTCCAGACTTCAGGTGCACCAGTTAGACTCCAGGCCTCCGTAGTCAGTCACAGAGCAGGGACCCCAACCAAGGACCTTGTTACTTAAAGAGAATCTGCAAATTAGCTCCCTTGAGTAACCATCAGTAGGTTAACATCTTCTGACAGGAATTTGCATTTTATTACCTTCTACCTTGCGTAATTGATGAAAACTAAATGAGATTATTAATGTTCTGTGAATAGTGTAATACTTGGCTAAACCTTGCCTCTAAAAGCATTATACTTGCTCCCATTAAATTTACATTGTTCAGTGATGAAAGTTCTCTTAGGCAGTCTCCAAATATGTCTGCGTGGTCAGAAGAGTGCTTCATTAACTCACTTTAAACAGAGTGCTGGATCACTGGGCTTGGAAACTTTTCCAAACTAGAATTATCATTGTCCTATTCTACAGGGTAACACTTTGAAATATCCATTGTTTGTCCAGATGATGAAGACTGACTTCATACAATTACAGCAGCCAGATACGGCTGGGTAACAAACAACCCCTCAACCACCAGTGGCATCAAGAGCACTTGGCTCCTGGGTCTTTGAGGTGGCGAGGTGGTTCTGCCTGGCCCCTGGCACCCGGCTGACTTTGCTTACTGCTGCAAGTCTAGAGATAGCTTGACTAGCTCTGCTCAACACATAACGTGGTCCTCCCTTACCAGGGTTGGGCTTCATGAGAGTGCAAAAGCCATGTGCCTTCAACAGAGATTGTGCTTCAGATTTTGCATTTTGGTCCTTATTGACCTTTTTGTGTTTTAATTTTCTCCTGGACTACCATATGCTGTATGATTCTCTTGGTGCTGGGCAGAGGCAGAGAGCACTAGCTCGCATTTCACCAGCTGGGGCTCTACAGTGCACTGTCGTAGGCACGATGTTCAGTGGGGTGAGTGTGTCAAATGTATTTTAATGTGTGGGCCAATGAGACAGAGGGCAGCACGCAAAACTCACGAGATAACAAGCAGGGTTGCAGGGCCAGAGGAGGCGGGTACACCGGGACATGTGTACTCAATTCTGGGTGGGGGGCATGGGAGACCGGGAGCTTGGAAACCCAGGGTAGGTTTAGAGAAGTATGCCCACGTCCCATGGACACGTAGTGCTCAAGAGCGATCTGTGTGGGGTGGGGGTCCCGGGACAAGTCAGGTCCATTGCATATAGCTATCCCATGAGGGGGTGGCCACCGGGAGGCAGCTATATAAGGAAGATGCCTGGATGGACTTCCTTGAGAAACTGAGAGAAGGCAGAAACTAGACATTGTGCCCTGCGTGACTAGGTCCTACTTCTGGTTGGAGAAAGACCACTTTATAACCTGGTGCAGTTGTGCACACCTGTAATCCCAGGACTCCAGAGGCCGAGGCAGGAGGATTGAAAGTTCGAGGGCAGCCTCAGCAACTTAGTGAGACCCTGTCTTGCCGCAATCTGGCTGGGCACAAATCACTGAGCCGCCACACAGCACTTGTATCTTCAAACAGGAAGCTTTATTGCCTGAACTCCAACAGCACTCCAGGCACACTCCCCGGGAACTCTCCCGAACGCCACCCACGCGGCCTCCAGGAACACCACACACCAACCAGAACTCCCCCACCCCCCAACTCTTCCAGAACACCACCTGGCTGCGCGCTCATGGAACCCGCAAGAACTCAACGGGAACTCCAAAGTAGCGGGCGCCCGAGTCGGACAGCAGGGGTCTATATACAATTGAGTCAATCCAGCATCATCTTAATGGCTCGCCTCTCAACCATTACTTCTGGCAAAATGCCAGGGGCCATTCCGACTCAGCTGTGGCTCTCAACACTGTCTCAAAAGATTTTTTTAAAAAGGGCCTAGGGTGAAGCTCAGTGGCAAATCACTTGCCTAGCATGTGTAAGGCCCTGGGTGCCACCCCTAGCACCACAAAAAGAAAAAGTCCAACTTATATTCAAAATGGATGCCAAGACAACATAAAATCATACGAATCTGCTCTGCACAATCACACTAGATATTTGCCTCCTAACAACGAGGGGCACTTACTAAATCTTTGTTAAACTTAAGCTCTGCAAGGATGCTGACTGTGTCCTGGTGTCTTAAGACTGCTGAAGATAATGGCATGTACTGTCAAGGAGGTGTCACTTGGTAAGACAGCAATGCGGAAATGCAGCATCTGAAACTACAAAGAACACTCAGATTTAAACATCCTGAGAGCATCTTTTGCTCTCAAGAAGCCAGGTCTGTCAAGAGCCTAGGTCACCTTCATAAGGAAGATGCTGGGGACACCAATGCACGCTGCCATCATGTCCCAGTCAGGTTGATGCAGGTGTGTGATTTTGCTGTTGTTTGGTGCTGAGGACTGGACCAGGCCTAGCCTGCCGAGCACACACTTGGCTGGGGCCCAGCACCATGATCACTTCTCTCTGTGGGTACAGTGAGACCATAAGATGTAGCTGTCATAAATGCTGGTGTCACAGCATTTGTGCATGGTGTTTGTGCATGTGCTCCGGCTCCCAGCTTGGTCTGGAAGGTGATAGTTTTACTGATGGTTCCTTCCCTTTCCTGCCATCAACTGTCAGAAGTTGTGGGGACATGTGTGCAGCCACTCAGGAGGTTCAGGCAGGAGGACCCCGTCTTAAAAGCTAAAAATCAAATCAAGGGGCTGGAGACGCAGCCCAGTGGTAGGGTGCTCCTGGGCTCAAGCCTCAGAAGCCCAGGGGAGCTTGGGACACACCGTCCACTTGTCCTCCAGCACAGGGGATGGTGGGTCTCTGCGAGGTTTTATTGCAAGTGTGTCTCTGTTGCCATGAGATGAGGAATTCCTAAAGGCTGCAGGACAGAAAGTAAGTCCCACGGTGGCCTAGTCACCTTAGCATTTTACTCGATGATTTAATCTCATGTGCCACCCTTTTAATTTGTTCAATCTGGTGCTAATTTAGCCATCTAACAACTAAGAAGTACATTGAAGTATGACACAAGGAGACAGACCAAGCAATGCACCACATACGTGGGGGCCTGTTGGTAGATGTGCAGCCGGGGAGCCTGGTTAACCCAGGGGTGGGAGCCTGGTGAACCCAGGGGTGGGAGCCTGGTTAATGGAGGGGTAGGAGCCTGTGCAGAGCCTGTGAACCCTGGGCAGCCGCGGTGGAGGAGTTGGCCCCAGGGTTCGCATGCACAGGAACCACAAAAGGCGGGCAGCCATCCGTGTGCACCAAGGAGTACCAGGAGGCACCCTGCAGCGGTCCAGCGCCACGGCCCCGTTTCTCTTTCTTGCAACTTCAGCTTCCAGTCTCGGCTCTGTTTTTCCATTATTTTAAAAATCAAACATACAAGAAAATCACCTTCATAAGCAGACCGTTTCCCACCCTCTCCCCTGGGCAGGCGCTGCGAGTGTGCAGCCGGCTCCTGGCCCCCTGGCGTGAGTAACATGGCCTGAGACCCCAAAGCTTTGGGCTGTTTCTCCAAAGTGCAAAATTAATCTGTTTTCCCCAAGAATTACCATGTGATGGTTTTGATCCGATTCAAAGAGAATTCAAACAAGATTAGTATTTATTTTGTCATAGAGAAAAAGGAAAAATCTACATTTTCCAAAAATTTTTTAGTTGTAGATGGACACAATACCTTTATTTTATTTGTTTATTTTTAGGTGGTGTGGAAGTTCAAACCCAGCGCCTCACACATGCTAGGAAAGCGCTCTACCACTGAGCCACAGCTCTGTCCCAAAATCTACATTTTCTTTTCCCCCACATCTATGACAAATGCAGCAAGAAGTTCCTTAAAGAAAAGTAAAATTTAAAGTAAAAAAAAAAAACTAGAATAGCATTCAAACTCAGAAGGTCATTGACTCTGATGAAGTTGTAAGTCAACAACTTAAAGGAACACGGGATTTAAAAGCAGCTCCAAGTGCATTTCCAGAGACCACTGTGGGAGCACATGCCCTTCAACCAAGTGGAAAGGCTTCCTTCCCCTGGACCCCTAGGCCCAGGGCTCCAGCTCACAGTGGGTCTATTCTCCAGCCAGGAAACAAATCAACAGAACCCCAACAGCCTGTCCCAGCCAACCTTGATCTCTTCTTCATAACTATAAAGACAGATGATTTCTTCTGGATCCCGTCTGAATCCCTTTCTAGCACAGAGGCTTGTTATGGAGATAAGAGACACTGCATATGAAAGGGCCCCCCCCCAACTCTCACAAAGTAAAGGCCACGCCATTGCCAAAGCCTTTACTTTGAATAAGTAGACTTCTTCCCTTTTGCTTTTATTCTTCTCTTAATCCATCATTATTTTCTTGATAACAAAACTGCTATGTTAGATCATAATGTTATTCAGTTAGGCTGAAAATACTTAAAATATTTTTTGTTTTGGCTCTCAGTAAAACTAACAAAAGTACTCTACACAGCCAACTTTTACTCTAGACTCATGTGTTTAAAATGACAAAAAAAAAAAAAAAAAAAAGCCAGATGCAGTGTCACACGCCTGTAATCCCAGCAGCTCAGGAGGCTGAGGCAGGAGGATTAAGAGTTCAAAGCTACCTTAGCAACTTAGTGAGGCTCTAAACAGCTCGAGATCCTGACTCTAAATAAAATTCAAAAAGGGGCTGGGGGTGTGTGGTTCAGCGGTTTAGTGCTCCTGAGTTCAATCCCTTGTACCAAACAAAAACAAAACCCCACAATGGAAAGATTCCGCTTTCTAAAAAGTTGTTTTTCTCCCTCATCTTCAACGACTGACCAGCTGCTCCCCACGCTCCTGTCAGGGAGGGCTGGGGTGCAGCTCAGTGGCAGAGCGCTTGCCTACTGTGCTGGGCACAGCGTCCCTCCCCTAATACCATAAAATAAACATATAAATTGCAGTGGAAGTGAAATTACAGAAGAGGACGTGCACCCTCTGAAGCCATCTTGTACACACCTCACTTAAACCAATTGTCACAAAGGTCACTGCAGGTAAAGAACCCAGTGGCGACACTAAGTTGTGTTCTTAGCATTCGTAAACAAAGTAGCAAGAGGACTGCAGGCCAGGGACCCAGGCCTGCCTTGGAGGCGTCTCCCTCCTGGGGGTTGGGAGCAGTCTGTGCCAGGGCCAGGGAGAGCTGAAAGGCAGTGTGCCCAGTAGGCGGCATGCTTTGGATTGTTTTCTGGTCATCCCAAAAGGTGTCCTATCAGACTGGAGATTTGGCTCCCTCCCCAGCTGCTCTCCCCGCCATTACATTACTATTTTTAATATTAAGGTTTTTGCCAGAGTACCAGTGCCTTCTTCATCTTTTTAATTCTCAGGTAAAAGATCAGTTTATCCGGAAATAGGCCTCAAAGGAGAAATGGAAAGATTTTGTGAAAAGATGAATATTTCAAGTGCAATACAAAACCCCTCATTCCTGGATGGACGAGGAGAATCAGCTAGGAGGCAGTGCTCGATTTGAGGCTTTTCACTGACTTTGGTTAAAAGCACAACTTGTCTCTATTTTACTTCTATTATTAAGAACCACATATAATAAGCCAGAAAATATGCTCTAGAAATTATTTTAAAAGGTTAGAAATTGAATTATAAAAATAACAATAAAATTAAAACACTTAAAAACTTGGAAGAAAAGTAAATGGGATACGAAATAAAGTAAAAAAGTTATTAAATCAGTTTTGTCATAGTGACCAAAAAATGGAGCAATTCAAGGCTAAATTAGCATCACTGGTGAAATGGCATCTTTTTAAAAATGTTTTCTATTTTTATTTTCTGGTACTAGGGATTGAACCCAGGGGTGCTTAACCACTCGACGAGCCACATCCCCAGTCCTTTTTGATTTTGAGACAGGGTCTCACTAAGCTGCTTAGGGCCTTGCTAAATTGCTGAGGCTGACCTCAAACTTGTGATCCTCCTGGCTCTTGTGTTGCTGGGATTACAGGCATGTGATACTTCGGCCAGTTTCAAATTGCGTCTTGAATTAATTTGTGATGTGGAAGTTAATTCAGTTCTTTAAATATGCATAAAATATGTTTATGAGAGTGTGAATCCATCTGCTAGAGACATGTGCGCACACATGCATGGGCGCGCGCGCGCACACACACACACACACACAACTTCTTTGTGCCCCACCTACCAGCTGATGTTTCCTGATTCCATTATCTTCAACGGATGTGCTTTGAATGGCCTCTGTGAGTAGTTAGTCACAGGCAGAGAAGATGGTATAAAGTTAACCAAGACTCTGCTTTTTCGGAAACTTGGAATGTAGCAGAACAAATTAATTGCACGGAGAATAAATGGTAGTAAAAATAGAGTAGAATAAAAACCATAAATGAGACCCTTGATGGTAAAGGAGTTCAAGGAGTGTCTTTTTGTTTGGAGAAAACAGAAGAGTTCCATTAGGAGCATTTAGTGTGGGCTTCGCAGGATGCTGAGAATGACAGAAATGCAGGACCCCTGTGGTGTGAGCCAGGACACCTGGCAGCCATGCAGAGAGGGATCCCCATGGAGGCTCTGTGTGTGGCCGCTCAAGTTCTGAGAACTACTTGCTGGACTACTTGCTGGGACTGATCAGCAGGTACACATATCACCCAGCAAAGAGGACACAGTGGAAATGGACAGGGAACTTGAGGCTAGCAACGTCTCAGAAGCAGAATCTTTAGGACCTGTGAACATCAACTTGGTGACAGAAGGTCACAGGTGTAGGCAAGTCTTGCAGGAGGATGAGTGGAGGGAGAGAAGAGGGAGAAACGTGTTTACAGCCTGGGAGCCCCCGTCTGCTCTGGGAAGGTGTTAGCAATCCTTGTTCTGCATTTTAACAGTCTTGATAATCTCATGCTCAAATACTCAGAAATTTTTAAACCAAACAAAAGAAGTCTGTATAATTCTAGCATTTGGGAGGCTGAAGGATCACAAGTGTGATGCAACCTCAGAAACTTAGTGAGATCCTGTCACAAAGCTGGGGATGTGGCTCAGTGGTACAGCACCCCTGGGTTCAATCCCAGAACCACACACACATTACAAGAAACGATGTTGTAGAAGGAGGCTCTCCAGGGAGTCAAAGGATAACTGATGGAGTTCAATGCTTAAAAGGTAAACCAGCAAGAACCCACACTTGCCAAACAGAGTGCAGGCCAGTCAGTGCAAGGTGGGCATTTCAGTCTGCCCAGACTTGTCTAGCACTTTCTCTGAAAAATGCAGGAAGTAAGTGTGTCATGCCTCCTAGAAAACCAAGGAGCTTGAAATAGTTATCTGAAGAGCTGTCCTTGAACTTGCTCACCAGTTTTTCCATATTGGTCAGTTCTTCAGAATCTAGAGAGATTTCATGAAAGGTCAATTACTCATTCCGTACCATTGCTAAAATTCCTAAAATTCCTGTCCATCCTACTAGGCAATGGCAACTGATGTCCAGCCCCCAGGGACCAGAGCCTAGGATGCCACACTAGTGACACACGCAGCTGGAGCTGCCTGTTCCTCGCCACCCCCCTGTCAGGCCTCCTGGCTCTGTTCCTGCCAGAGTGACTGCGTCCCCTGTCCCACCAAGGAAATGCTATCCTGGGCACACTCCAACCAAGCAGAGCAGCATTCCGAGGGTTCCTCGGGGGTTGCTGAGCCAAGGCTCTGGCAGGAGGCCTCTGACCCAGGAGGACAGAGGCTGGGCTTCACAGCGACCTTCTGGCGCTAGGCTGTGGAGTCATCGTCATTGCACAGCCTTCTGAGCCCATCCTAGGAGGCCTGTCCTAGGGGGCCCATCCCAGGGGGCTGATTGGGCTGGGCTGGTCCTGAGGAGCTTCGGGAGACATACGCGAGCACTGCCCATGAAAGAACGACCCACCAAAGCAGGGAGGCTCCCAGCCACCCTGCGCACTGACCCCTGTGCCCACCGCCCTGCCCCTGAGCCAGGACTGCCTCCCTGGGCGAAGCCGTGGAGGACCTGCTCAGAGCAGGGCTTGGCTTGCCTGGGCAACAACCAGGGACAGAGACGGGGACGTGGGCTCGGCCTCCGGCCTCCCAGGGGATTTCCCCGCCTTGCTCCCAGGTCAGAGACAGGCTGGGGTCACTTGTTGGTGACATGGTTTGCCTTGGGTTTCAGTAGCTCTCCTGGGCTTTGTGTTTTGAAGTGACAGGAGAAGGCAGTGAGATGGATGCTGTGCAGACTTAGCAGTCGATCTGGGCTTTGGGGCATGAGAAGGTTCTGAAGGTGACATTGGGGAGGAAGGGCTGTCTGGGGACAGCGAGTCTAGTGTCCCCCAGACCCCAACTCTGGTGAGGAATGGAACATTTAACATTCTCTGTCGCACGTAGGCTGTATCTTCCTTGTGATGTCCAAACTCCAGTTGGCTCTGGGTACACTGAAGTCCTCAGACTCTCCACAGCCCCTGGTCCTCCAGTGCCAGCTCTGGTGTGTGAGCCGGCCCTGGGCAGGCTGCCTGGCCAGGAGCCTGAGGCAGGGGTTCTTGTCCAGTGATTGACAGAGAAACTGAGAAATGAAGAAGTTAGCGGAGGCCTCCACTGGGACCTGCCTCAGCTGGCGCGATGGCCCCACCAGGTTGGCCCCACCGGAGATGGGGAACTGGCTTTTGTGCTCCCCGTCAGTAATGCTGGTGCTTGGGGACATGGCTCCTGTGCAGCTGGCACACTGGTTCCCTGAGAAGTGACAGGGGAGCAGTGGAGCAGCAGGTGGCGGCTGGGCTGCCATTCAGAGCCCACCATGCCAGGCTGGCCTGAGGGTGCAAGCCCGCCCCAGGTGAGCTGGACGAGTCAACATGTCACCCTGCAGCTGCCCAGCCTGGGCTCGGTGCAGAAGCGTGCTCCATGCAGGCTACAGTCCTGACACCTCACCTAGCACGCGCCTTGCGCTGACTTCAGCCAAGCGGGAGATGAAGTGGAGCAAACCTGACTGACTGGGATTCAGGGCGGACCAACAGCGTCAGCCCAGCCCCAGTGAGCATAAGTTTAGGCCAACAGTGTCAGTGCTATTCCACACCCGAATTAGCACTAGTTTGGACCAATGACAACCGTACTTTTCCAAAACGTAATTAGCACAGTTTGGGCCAATGGTGTTGACCCAAGTGCTGTGTAAACCTGAACTCTGCACCTTCAGTGGCAACGCTGGGGAGGTCTTTTTGCTCTTTGGGGCCTGCATTTCTGTGCTCATCGAGCAAATCCTACTCTTACACTTACTCATCTTGTCTCTGGACTTCATTCTTGCAATTCAGGAAGCAAGAATCCAGAAAGAAGAAGTTGGTGGGGACTTGCTGGGGTCTGCTGCAGCATGCTGGGCATGGCCCGGTGCTAAGAGCTGCAGAGGCCTGCCCCTCTGCGGACCCCACCTTCCTTCTCAAAACCTCAGTTGTCCCACAGAACAGGACAGTGAGGCGACCTCTAAACGGGTGGTAGGGCTGTGTGCAGTGAAAGTTCGCCCTGCACACCGTTGCTGGCCAGCAATCCTGCAGTCGCAGCCGCTCAGGCTGGGTGTGCTGGTCAAGGGGGTACAGGGTGGGCCAGCCGTGCCTCCCAGGAGGCCCTCCCAGGTGCCCAGCCATCAGGCCAGAGTCCTGGTGCTTGATCCTGGTGTGGTGTTCTGCCCCTCTGCCCCACTGGTGGTCTGCATTTACCTGCAGCTGCCCACACTGGTGTGACACAGATGTGTGGCTGGCCTGGTCCTCAGGTGGCCCCATCTGCTGAGGCCTAGCTGGGAGCCATCTGAGGGATGTGGCCAATGCTGTGGCAGCCTGGGGAGCTCGGATTCTTGTGGGGGAAGGAGGGTGCTGCATTCCCACCCACCCACAGGCTCCCCAGCACCCCCGGGTGCCCCTTCAGTGCTCTGGGGTTCAGCATGTGCCCGCAGCCCGTGGAGCAGCTGGAGGGCCTCCTCCCCTTCCCCGGCAGGGCTTCTCCAGGCCTGGTGGTCCCTCCTCTGCCCTCCACAGCGTGCTGATGTTCAGCCTCTGCCCGGGGACTGTTCTGTTACCACTTTAAACTCTTGGAGCTAAAAATACCTTTCTCTCTGGATGGCCTGTTTGTTTTTTGTTTTTATTACTCTTTTCTCAGCTGTGGATTTCGAAACTACTCAAAACAAAAGCTGAGGCATAATCGCTCCTTTCTTTCCCTGTTCTGCTTGAGTAACTCATCCTCCCCAGGGCGGGCCTCCCCAGAGCCTCTGAACCGGAGGTTGGGGGAGTGCTGCTTCTGCGCAGATGGAGGAGGCGGCTGGGCTGGGAGTGGACAGAGAGGCGTCTTGGGGACACTGAGGGACTGAGTTCTCTGAAGAGGAGGGTGTGTGCTAGGAAAGTGCCGGGAAGGCACGTGGAGCAAAAATGTGGAAAGTGAGCCCCGGGAAATGCCCGGCTCCCTTCACCCCACACGGAGGGCGGTCGGGCCCAGAGGAAGTGAAGACCAGATCACGGGAGACACCTTCACCCGGCACTGTGGCCACGCCTGTGATCCCAGGCCAGCCTCAGCAGCTTAGTGAGACCCTGTCTCAAAAACTAAAAAGGGCTGGGGATGTAGTCAGTGGCAGAGTGCCCCTGGGTTCCATCCCCAGTACCACAACAAGGTATCCAGTTGCTCACCCTGTGTGGCCGTGAAGGTGTGATACTCGGAATACCCACCGCCAGAGGAGAATTCAAAAGTCATGAGAAAGTAATTCAAAGTATCTGACAGCTAAATAAAAACAGTATCAAGAAACAGGACAAGAGAAAGCATGTTTCTTCATTCTAGGAAGGACACATGAAGGGGAGAATCTTATTCTGGTTTAATAAATACAAGTAATGATCAAAGACAGGTTTAGCCACCTAAGTGAGAAGTCCAGCTGTCCGGTGTGTTCCAGAAACTCACCAGAGCAAACAGCCACACGGTCACTCTCAGGGCCAGATATTTGGATCAAAGGAATTTGACAGACTTTTTTCACAAGCTTTTCATGGGGGTTCTGAGCAAGCTGTGCCACTAACACAGCCCGAGCATGCCTGCCTTTCCACTGGGACACTGAGTGACAATAGAGCCACAGCCATGAGCTTCACTGGCTGCAGTTCACTCTTGCTCATGGGTCGGAGCTGGGTAGTCACAGGCTTGGATTCCAGTCCTAATTACTGATCCCCGTGACGCGCCTCCCACGTCCATCCTACTGTGTTACAGAACGGTGAGGAAAGGGTTAGGCGGCCCCAGGGGTTCAGGAGGCTGAGCTGAGAGCAAAGGCAGAGGGCAGTGGGCAGATGAGACTGGGGCTAGCTTCAGACCACACTCTGAAACACTCCTTCAGGCTCACTCTAGGCTAGGGGCCAGACTGCAGCCTCAGTGTCAGCTTGAGATGTCATCTGTGTCATCGTCACAGGCAGAAGAAACAGCACTGAGCAAAATAAAAAATAAGAAGGGCTGGGATGCAGCTCAGTGGGAACGCGCCCTGGGTTCCATCCCCAGTACCAAAGATAAAGGAGTAATGAAGATTTGAAAGTACTTGCAAGTGGGCTGCAGTGGCTCAGTGGCAGAGGGCTTGCCCAGCGTCCACTAGGCTCTGGGCGCCATTCCCAGCTCCTCAAAAAATACAGTTGTTATGATTTCAGAGTGGCCTGAAGGCCTAATTAGCCTGGCCCAAGCATCATTTAAAAACAAAACCCAAAAAAACCCTCTGAGGATCTATCATTTCTCCTACTTTATACGTGACGTTGAGACTCAAGAGAATTTGTTTCAAAGTGATACACCCAGTAAGTAATGACAGTAAGTAATGATGGAAGAATTTTAAACTGAGCCTGTTATCCAAGTCAGAGAACAGTCTGTCCAATAAGAAGTAATTAGTTAGATAGTTAATGTTACACCCATATCATGGACTATTATGCAGCCATTCAAATGATGCACAAATTATTTTAAACTGAAAGAGAAGGTAAAAAATGTTTATTATATGACTTTATTTAAAATATGTAAAATTATAAAAATATATATAAAATTATAAATGTATGTCTACTTTCCTATAAAGAAATAGAAGCAAATTGAAACTATAGGAACCCTTGTCTAAAAATGAGCAAGCATTTCACGATGGGGTCGGCAAGGCTCGGACCTCAAACACAGACCCCGGGCCGCGCCAAGCCAGCACTTGGGCAGCGGCACCATGACCGTGCTCCTGGTGTCCTCCCTACAGTGACCTGTGTCTTTCCCTGGTAATAGGAAGGACATACTCATGGAATGGCCTGGAGTCCAGGGCAGCCCGTAGGTTGGGGCTCGGGCTCTGCAGATCTAAACCCAGACGTGCCGGGCAGAGCCATTTCCCTGCCGCTGACCTCCTGCTCTGCTTCCCACTTGCTGTACTTGGGTGCAGTTTGTCTCCCAAGGGCTCATGAGCTGGGGGCTTGGTCCCCGTGTGATGCTGCTGAGAGATGCTGGACCCTCGCGGAGAGTAGGCACAGGGCACTGCCCTGGAAGGGACAATGCCATCTCAAGAGGGGCTTAGACAGTACTGAGTTGTAAGACCAAGTGGTTAAGAGTGAGTTTGGTTTTCTCGTTTATTCTCTTGCCTCCTCCTGGGGTCCCATCCCCAGCACCCACACCTGTGCGACCTCTATCTCTCACGTGTGATCTTGCCACATGACGCCATCCGCCACAAGGCCTTCACCAGAAGCCAGTGCCAGAACTGTGAGCTAAATAAGCCTCTTTTCTTTATGAGTTATCCAGCCTTAGGTTGGTTATAGTAACACAAATGGACAAAGACATTGCCTGAATAATTTGATCCCCAAGCCAGTAAGAGGGTGGAACAAAAATAAGCATTCATATTAGGGAATGGGGTTGGTGACCCTGAATAAGGAGCCGGAGCCCAAGAGGGATGGAAGGGCATCTGCATGGAGTCGGGTGGCAGTGGGGGATGTCACATGGAGCCCAGGCAAGATAAGGAAAGCACTCATGAGGGTCCGTCCTCCAGCAGGGGATGTTGGAGGCAGAATGAGGTGAGGAAGAGGCCCCTTCAGGAGCAGGGTGAGGAGGAGAGACTGAAGATTGGAGGGGAATCTAATAAACCAATACACTGAGTAAAGGGAACCAGATTGCTTACTGTTAGAAAAGAGTTCCGTGGCACATGTCTGTAGTCTCCGTGACGTGGGAGGCTAAGGCAGGAGGATCAAAGTTTAAGGCCAGCCTCAGCAACTTAGCAAGACCCTGTCTCCATATTAAAAATGAAATGTGCTCGGGATGTAGCTCAGTAGTGGAGCACCCCTGGGTTCTGCCAAAAAAAGAAAAAAAAGAGTTACAAATATAAAAAGGAGAAAAATGTAATTGATACTATGGTGTTGTGGTGTGTAAGATTAAAACTGGGTATATCACTTGTGTTTTCAGTAGTATAAGTGTGTGAGCATGTGTCCATATACACGTATGTAGAGATTTCCAGACCTGCCTGAGAGCCATGTCGTTGCTCTAACATAGAGCATACCTAGCCCAGAACATTCCTAATTCCACTCTGTGAACACACACACACCACGACTAGCAGCAGCAGCTGCAACCAACTTTAAAGATATACCTGATTTCAGGTCTAGGGAAGGGAATTTACGAGAACAGTCAGTGACATTTGTTTGTGTCTGTCAGAAAGTAAAAATGGGTTCAAAGAATGACAGGAATCTGGCATGACAGATCTTGGACATGATGGCACCCTACTGGCTGGCCAGCCTGGGGTAAGAGGGCCATCAGTGAACCGCAGTGAACCGCGGTGGACGAGGCAGGAGCAGGCTGGGCTCTAGGCCAGCCAGGTGGCTGAGTGAGGCCCTCTCTCAAAATACAATCTTTGCAAAAGGACAGGGGAAGTGGCTCAGTGGCGATGCTGCCGACCATGCTTGAGGCCTGGTCCCGTCCCCAGCACCCACACCCAGAAACAGCCCCACAGCAACGTGGCAGACACATCATTGCCCGGGAAACCAAACCAACATGTGAGTCCTACTAATGTGAAAATACCAAATCTACGAAGGAAGAGAAAGCTTTTCCTTACAGCGCAGTGTCACCTAATAAAAGTGGAAGGAGTGGTGACATCGCCAATGCCATTCCGTGTCACATAGAAGCTGTTGTGTGCCTCCAAGGCAAAGCACAGACAGCTTGCCAGGTTGGGAACCAAAGGGAAGGTCCCGACTAACACAAGACGGATAAAGGACGGCTCCTCTGCAGCCTCAGTGGGCCAGGTAATTGGCACTTACGTTCCCAGTGCGTTGACACATCCCAATCTCAAGGAACGTCCCCATTCCCACATGTGTGCAAAGTGGAAAGACCTTTCTGGGAAAATTCTCTAACCAAGTGAAAATTAAATTCATGATAAGGAAGAAGAGAGTTCAAGAAACACTGGACGATGAATCAGATAATATTCACAGTGAGGTCGAAGATGACGGTGGCTAACTGGGAATTACTCTGTTAGGGATTGCGAAACAGGAGAGACTCGTTTCTCAATCCTCAGGCCATGTCCAGGGTTGCAACGCTGTCATTATCTTGTCCAACGCAAGACCCTGGTGGCAGGGAAGATGACCTGGTTAAGGTCCTGAATCTCTCACTTCCCTGGGAGAAGAGGAGAGCCTAGAGCTTGAGATCCGGTCAGAAGTCTGCGAGTAGAGCTGGGCTGTGGCTCGGCGGGAGAGCACTTGCCTGGCACGGGCGGGGCACCGGGCTCCATCCTCAGCGCCACGTAAAAATAAGTGAAGTAAAGGTGTGTGTCCATCTACAACTCAAAAAAAATGTTTAAAAGTCAAGGCTGTGCACAGTTCTGGCATGTGAGTAGAAATACAGACTTAATAAGACGGGGAGGAACGGGACGGCTGTTAGGACAGCTGAAAGGTCTGCCAGGGACGAGCGGGTACAGTCCTGGTTACTTACCCTCCACGTAGAACGGTGAGCGCACTACTGTGCTGAAGGAGGTCCCCAGCTGCAGAGTGGAGGCCCGTGGTGGGAATTCCCAGTGTGAGCCCAGGAGGAAAGAAAGGAAAAGAAGGGTGTCCGCCCAATCACCAAAGTCAGACAGGGAAGTCGACATCTAGAAATGAACAAATTGGAGGGAATAAAGTCACATGAATGTTGACTGTGAACGCAAAGTGCTCCTACCCAAAGGCAAACATTTGAAAATCAGATCCAGTCACGGACGACGAGGGTCAGAGTGGCAGCAAGTGACAGATGTGAAGCAGGATGATCTGAGGAAGGGTGGCTGGGGAAGGTGGGGGTGGGAGAACAGCCTGCAGCCCCCGTGCCCTGGGCTAAGTCCAGCAGAGCGGCCACCTTCCTGGCCCGGAGGGCAGGGCGCAGTGCTAGACCTGGAAGGGAGGACACACCGGAGGAGGCCACCAGGGAAGAGCAGTGACTCCGGCTGAGAGCCTCGCAGCCCCAGGGGCGTCACAGGGAGGGCTAGAGAGCACAGGCAGCAGCTGGCCTGGACGTGCAGAGCAGCCTGCGGGGGCAGAGAGCAGGCAGGGCCCAGGGCGTCCAGAGGTGCAGGTGCTATTCACAGAATCAGAGCCTGGGTAAGGGGTGGCAAAGGTGTCCAGCTGCCGGCCCTCTGATGGAATGGAGCGTTGGGGAGTCCTGCTCTGATCAGGTTCCTAACTGCAACAGCACTTGTCCTACCAGCCAGGAGACACGGAATTTATGCTACACCCAAATCTGGGACGTGTGTGAGAGGGGGTGTCACTGAACTGCTCACCTGGGTGCCAGGCCACCAGAATATCACTCTGGGACTTATATGGGCACAGCGGCCAACGTCCCTGTCCCCACCATCTATGTAAAGGAAGGAATGGGACAGGGAGGTGGTATGAGGGCCCTGGGAATGCAGTGTTCCAGGGGAGGGGTGCGGCTCCTGGACTGGGGGCCGCAGGGTCCCAGGACACCACTCCAGTCAGGTTGCATGCCACAGCAGCCCGGCCAGAGAGCTCCCAGAGAATGTGGAGGCCGGGAAGGGAGATCCGGAGAGCCTTGAGGGCGGGGCCAGGTGATGGCAAGGCTGAAGGGGACCGGAGGCCGAGGCAGCTCTTCTCCCCACTCCTGCACCAGCGGGCGCTGCTCTGTGGGTCTCAGTCCTTCAGTACTGGAAACAGCTCCGGCCTGGCGCACAGGTGTTACCCAGCTCTTCAAAGACTCTGTGCAGTGGGTGGAGAGTCCCCACAGAGGCCATTTGGTAAATTGTGTATGGGAAGTGCTTCTCCACAGCGTGGCAGAAGGAGCCACCTCAACGTGGCCAAGGAGCACCTAAACGCCCAGAGCAGCAGGTTGGCAAACATAGCAGCTTCCTGAAATTTAATTCTGAGAATAGTAATTCTATCACTTATGTAGCAAGACAAGAAACTATAAGGTTGAGGAAGGAGAGAGTAAATTCATTTTATATGTGAAACATTTATATAGATAAACCTTTAAATGTATTTAGAAATATCAACATAAATGTATTTTTAGACTCTGATTGCAGCAGTCCCCAAAAGGGCCTTGGCCAGGGACAGACACAGCGAGGGCGATGGTGCTCGGGCTGGAGGCGTGTGGGTGGAGTCGCCACTGCAGTCAGACTTCTGTTGTCCTGAAGTTGCTTAAGCAACAAATGAAATCAGAGGCCTGAGAAACAGGGACAAATGGGTGGAAGGATGACAGGCAGCCATTAGACAGCACTCAGGAGTTTCACTGTGGAGGAAGCAGAGGACGGGGTGGACCCGGGAAGGGAGTCGGGTGGGGAAAGGGTCTGTGTGCCGCCGGGAAGCTCAAACACATCTTCAGAATGATGGACTGACAGCGAGTGGGGACACCGGTGCTGCAGAAAGCAGGTGCAGGAGCCAGGCCTCCGCCAGGAGAGGGGTGGGGCCTGCACAGCAGTGGAGGCCCTGAGCCAGGGCAGGCCGGGAGGAGGAGAGTGGGCGGAGTGGACGCCGCGGGGTTGGTACCTGATGGTGAACCTCATGGGGATTCTGTTCTGATGGACCCCTCGATCCCAGGGAATGAGCAAAGCAAGGGTCGACTGAAAGTGTGGAGTCTAAGACAAAGGAGGTGGAGAAGGCCTTCCTGGTGCAAAGAGTTCAAGGACCAGGCCACGCAAGCTTCCTGGGAGCCGAGGTCCACTGGAGGCTTGGCAGGACGGTCTCACTGCCACGTCCTGGGGAGACCCCGCCCGCGCCACCTTCTCGGCCACCTCCCCTGGCTCCATTGGCATCTCAGGTGGTCCCTCTGAGAGGAGCTGGTGGGTGCTGTCACCCTTCTCACCTCACCTGAGCACAGGGAGATGGCGAGCGGCCGGCGGCCGTGGCCCAGTGTCAGCTCCTGTTCACTCTGGGCACTCTGTCCTCACACGAGGGTGTCCACAGACATGGGTACCCTGGTGCCAGGCTCTGCTCCTCTGGCCGGTTGGTGTGAATGCACGAGGGCGACCCCAGAGGCAGGATGCAGAAAAATGAAGGAATCAGTCATTGTGCTCTGAGCCGTGATGCGATCTTTTTTCTTTTCTTTTTTTATTGGGTGACTTTAAGTGATGACAGGGCCACACAGATTGCATGACTAACTCTGCTCAAAGCAGCATACTCCTTTGTAGCCTTTTGCAGTTTGAACGCTGATGTCATGGGCACTACTTCATGGTGGTGAGGTGAACGGGAGGGCACGGTGGGTTCATCCTAGGGGATCAGGAGATGACCAGGGAATGCATAAGAAACCCCGAGGGGAAGCAAACACAGTGAGAGGGGAAAGAGAGGGAAGTGATTGAGCAAGACAACAGCATTTTGTTCTTGTTCCTTTAAGAATACATGTTCTAGGCCGGAATCCCACAGGCTGGAGGCTGAGGCAGGAGAATCATGAGTTCAAAGCCAGCCTCAGCAACTTAATGAGACCCTAAGCAGCTTAGCAGGATGCTGTCTCAAAACAAAAAATAAAAAGGGTTGGGTATGTGGCTCAGTGATTAAGTGGTGGGTTCAATCCCTGGTAACCAAAAAAACAAAACCAAACCAAAAAAGCAAAACTTATTATATCTGGGCACAGCTGAATACCAGTGGCTCTGGAGGCTGAGGCAGGAGGAGGCCACAAGTTTGAGGCCAGCCTCAGCCATTTAGTGAGATCTGCTGCAAAATAAAAAATGAAAAGGGACGTAGCTCAATGGCGGAGTCCCTGGATTCAATCTCCAGCACACACACACACACACACACACACACACACACACAGTTATCTGTGGAGTAAGTTCAGCAGAAAAGAACAAGGTCAGTGTGCTGGACTGGGGTTTCCTGCCTGACCCCAGAGGCTAGCCCACGGTGACCCCTGTGGTCCACCGGAACAGGGACAGCCTCTTCCCTTGCAGATGGCGAGCTGCACCTCTTCGAGTCTTGGGCCTCTGGTCATGCCTGTCACCGGCCAGCTGGAGCCGGAGGACTGCTTTGAATACTGGTGTTCTAACATCTCAGGTCACATGGCAGTCACTGTCCGGCAGTGTCTCACAGACTCAGGAAAAGATCCCAGTTCCACAGTGAGGCTGAAGTCCAGATGAAACCAGTGAGGAGCGGGCAGCGTTGGCCTCTGGCTGTCTGAAGGCAGCTTCTGGGGTGCCCATCAGGAAGAGTGTGGGGAAGGAAGCCCTCAGGCCACTTTTGTGTGAGGCTTAGACTTGTTGAGACCCACCTGACCCAGCTGCCCAAGTCGGGAGACCTTCGTCATCCAGTGAAGGCCTTACAGAGGGTCTTCTGTATGGAGGGTGGGCTATTGCCTTCCGCCAGCTGCCGCCGCTGCACCAATGATCAAGTGCAGTGAGACCCGTGGAGGGAAGACCAAGGGACGAGGAGCAGCCAGGAGTTACTTCTGAGAGAGTAATCAGAATCATGCAGAGAGCAGACCGTAACGAAATGGGGATTAATTAAAAGTCCACAGACAACAGGTTAAATAAACTACAGTATATCCACACAATGAGATAGGGTCATAATAAAGTCATGGAAAACCAATTAATGACGCATGGAAATGTTCAGGATATATGAATACATGGAAAATAAAGTTATGAAAGAGTGTGTTTGGCATGACCCAATTATGTAAAAACAAAATAAAGCAAGACAAAAACTGTGTCTCTCTACCCTCATCTGTTCCTCTGTCTGGGAAGGGTATACCAGCAAATGTTCCCACAATAATTTTGGCCGCAGATAGTACAGCAATCTTTTCTTCTTTGAGCTTGCCTTCATGAATATTCCCAAAGTTACAGAAACAAAAACAAATATATAATTGGATTCAATATAACTGACATTTGAAAGAGAAGATCTCAGGGTGTGTTAATCAACCCAACTCCTAAATTATCTATCCTCTTGTTAGATCAACACACCACAATATCTTTGAAATATGACATTTTAATCCCTGCAGAAATGCTGCAGCATAGGTGATTAAAAATTGAACATTGGCTGGGTGCGGTGGTGCATGCCTGTAATCCCAGCTGCTCAGGAGGCTGAGGCAGGAGCATCTTGAGTTCAAAGTCAGCCTCACCAACTCGAGGCACTAAACAACTCAGTGAGACCCTGTCTCTAAATAAAATACAAAATAGGGCTGGGGATGTGGCTCGGTGGTCAAATGCCCCTGAGTTCAATCCCTGGTACCAACAAAATAAATACAAATAAAAATTTAAAAAGTTGAACACTTGACTGACTTTGATATGAAGAACATTTTCTTTTTTTTTTTTAGAGAGAGAATTTTTTAATATTTATTTAGTTTTCGGTGGACACAACATCTTTATTTTATTTTTTATGTGGTGCTGAGGATCGAACCCAGCACCCCGTGCATGCCAGGTGAGCGCGCTAAGGCTTGAGCCACATCCCTGCCCTGAAGAACATTTTCTTAATGATTTGCAAAACTATATTTCAAGACTTGGGTCCTATTCCTTTTGTAAAGAGCTGCTCCACGGGTTTATAAGAGAATTGATGCCAAGGAAGGGTTTATGTTTTGGTAAGTTTTTATTCTACAGCACAAATTTTAGAACACATCTTGTGTTGCCTGCCTGAAAGATAAGAAGTGAATTTACTCATCGATTGTTGTGAAGACATGGCCACAGATCTCCTATGGTTAGGATCTCGCCTCGTAACTGATTGTGTTGCTCAGTTTCAGTTTTTCAAACTCTTTTCTCTTAGGTGCTTCATAGGCAACTCATCTCAAATGATATTTTCAAAACTGACATGTGAAGCACAGAGATTGCCAGGTGTTCTCTAATAACTGAATAAGAAGAAATGGAAATTAGCACTCTTTATGTCCGCACGCGTGTATAAGCTAGTTTTAAAACAGTTCTTCCTGTTTGTTCAGCCTTCCTGTCGGAATTCTGAGGGCTTCTGAAGTGAATTTTCACTGTCACTTCATCACAGTAAAAACTACTGATCAAAACAATGGCTTTTCAGACAGTGGGCTGTTTGGGAGAGTTTACATCAATGGAATGCTCTTTCCTACCAGAAGGAACCTTATGAAAACATTTGAAATTTCCACATCTAGCCAAGTCCCATTCAGCTTAGGAAGCTCCCTGCTCATCTCTTCCACGGCTCTGAGAAGACCTCCCATTAGGAGCTGGGATTTGGTCCTCTGCTAATGACTACAAGCTTGAAATGTCCATGACCTTTTCTATCCCTGGGGCTGACTGCGGGGTCGGGCTTGAGGTCACTGGCTGGAAAATCACAATGTCCTGATGTTGGGGGAGGAGAAGTGAACTTGCACTAGAGACAAGGCGGGACTTCCTCGGCCATGAGGGAGTCAGTCCTGCTTCACCCAGGGGCTGCCTGCCCTGCGGCGCCAGGTGGGGAGAATCATGGAGAACCAGCTGTCCCCCGAGTCAGTGTCCAGACATGGCATCAGCACCCATTGGGCTGTCCTGGGAAGTGTCGAGTGTCAAGTTTGTATCCATCTGTTTATTTAAATCGAGGACATAAAGTTAACATGAAGCACAGAGGATTCTTCTGGTGATGATGGAGTCCCTGCCTGGACACAGGAAGTCCACAGCAGCCCTCATTTCTCCTGCCCTGGGGGTGGCCTCCATGATTTCACAGCAGATGGTGCAACCTGGACCTCAAGACCTGGTATGATTGTGTTCAACAGGACAAAAATGTGTGCATTTTACTGGAATTTTCATAAGGAAATGGGTTTAATGGAAGTTTCATCATAGAAGGATGCACATGTTGAGTTCCACTACCAAGTGTGCATGCGCATTTCAAGACCTGCACTAGGAGTGTGAGTGAGTCTTGTGAAGCTTTAAAACCAAGCATGCTTTCTTCTCCAGGCCGGTATATACTTTGTAGAGGAAAAAAAAAAATCCTTTTCCTCACCCATTGCTAGGTTCACAGCTGAGCAGCCCCCATAACAAAAGACAGTTCAACAAGAGAAAAACATACTAATTTATTTCAATTTTTTGTGACACAGGAGCCTTGGCAAACGACCCAGATGAAGAGAGAAACCTGGGAGTTTTTTGCTCAGTTTGGTGAGGAAGCACACTGTTGTGCGGCAGGCAGGGTGACCGGACAAAGGAGGTTTGAGCTAATGGGAGTCAATGGGGAGGGGGACTAGCAAGTGCTGTTAGGTCAGATTCCTGTGTCCCTGTGTCTTCAGAGGTGAGGGAACTCTGTTCCTCCAGGTGGAAGGAAGGCATTTCTGCAAAGAGCATCAATGACCTGCTCTGGCGAAGGATGGAGGAAGGTGAGAGGGGCCTTCCCGCCTCTGCCGCGAGTGCTGCATTTTGGGGTAGCAGGTCCTGAACCCCATCAATTTGCTGATCTCTACAAAATGGACTACTTTTATCTTCATTGAAAATCCATGGGGATGCTTTGCTCCCTTTCCAGATGTTCTCAGTAGGTGTCCCGGTGTCACCTGGTGCCTCCGGAGGACTCAGACAACTGCCATGAAACCAGAGTGTTCCACTTGCGCGGGGATAAAATCTAACCCGAAACGTGGCTCAGCAACTACCCAGAAGTTTGGGCAGCAGCTACAAGAGTTAAATATTTACATGGACCAGGACTTGTGGAAGGAACTTCATTCCATGTTATTGTTACTTAGTTCCTTCTAAAACCTGGCCAGGGGGTAGCACAGGAAAGTTTGATATAGCTCTGAGAAGGTCCACATCTCCAAGATGGTGTTGATTTCAAGAAGAGATCACTGAAATGGTTGTCTCAAGTTCCTGTCCACTCCCCTCACTCCGTCCTTAAGTGCAAGGGGTTAGCTTTCAGCAGAACCATGGGCAGTCATGCTACTTACATTCTCAAATAATTACCGGACCATAAGGACAATATTTAGGTAAAAATAATTAGAACTAATAAAATCTGATAAGATGATGGATACAAAACTCATTATTATGAAAAAGTCACTAGGTTCCAGTGATAACTATTTCAATATTTAAAAGGAGAAAAAATTCTCTCACATTACCAAAATGAATTAGTTTGGAATTCTTAAGAAGTAATCAGGGCTGGGGTTGTGGCTCAGTGCAGAGCACTTGCCTGGCATGTGTGAAGCATTGGGTTCGATTCTCAGCACCACATATCAATAAATAAAGGTCCATTGACAACTAAAATATTTTAGAAGGAGGAGGAGGAGGAGGAGGAGGAGGAGGAGGAGGAGAAGAAGAAGAAGAAGTAATCAGAGGGGTTGGTGGTATAGCTCAGTTGGTAGAGTGCTTGCCTTACATGCACAAGGCCCTGGGTTCAATCCCCAGCACCATCAAAAAAAGAAGTAATCAGAATCTTAATGATGAAAAAGTACAATAGTTTATGAAAAGCTTTAAGAAAAACTCTCTAATATTTCTGAATGGAAACATAACAAAATAACTATGCAAAATTCCTCCAAACATATTTAGGAATTTAAAATAGTACTGATTTAAGTTCTAGAACAATTTTTAAAACTATAAAACAATATTTAAAATTTGGTGCATGCCTGTAATCCCAGCAGTTCTGATCACAAGTTCAAAGCCTTCCTCAGCAACTTATTGAGGCCCCAAGCAACTTACCAAGGCCCCAAGCAACTTAGACCCTGTCTTAAAATAAAAAAAATAAAAAGGGCAAGGGATGTGGCTTAGTGGTTAAGTGCCTCTGAGTTCAATCCCTCATACAAAAATAAAAATAAAAAATAAAATGCATTTGAAAAATAAACATGAGGATAGCAAATCCTTTCCTTTTATCTATAGAGGAAAATGAGAGTTTTAAATGGATCAAAAAGATTATTGGACCTTTTCAATGTAAATCAAGGCACTATGTCAAAGATCTGAGTTTATGGCTTCTCTGCTTTTCAGTGTCCTTGAAAACCTTATAACTCTTGCAAATCGTGGATCACTGACAATGTATAAGTAAATTATGTTATGGGCCAGGCTATATGGCAATGACCAAACAGACTCCATTGTACCCCGAGACTCCATATCATATACCAAATGCTTCTCCCAGGGAAAGCCCCACCTCTGTACCTATCAATAGTTGCTTAGCACAGCATGTTTGGCAACACAAAATGGCAATTCTTACACAATGTACCTCTAAGAGATTGATTGTGTAGACACTAGTAACCATCCTTTAACTTGTACTCAACCAGGGTCATTTTGACCCACTTCCCCTCCGCTTACCATTATGGAAAGTCCCATGGGAAATCCCAGTGTACCCATTGCCTTGGTTTTCTAAAATAATTTTTAATTTGTTTTAATTAGTTATACATGACAGTGGAATGCATTTATGCACTTTGATATATCATACATAGCTGGAATATAATTACTCATTTTTCTGAGTGTACATGTTGCAGAATCATAGTGGTCATATAGTCACATATATACATACAGTAATAATGTCTGTTTCATTCACCTATCTTTCCTATCCCCACATCCCCTCCCATCACTTCCCTCTACCTAATCAAAGGTAATACTATTCTTCTCTAGTCCCCCCGCCCACAGCCTTATTGTGAATTGGCATCTGCATATTAGAGAAAACATTCGGCCTTTGGTTTTGTGGGATTGGCTTATTTAGCTTAGCATGATATTGTCTAACTCCATCCATTTACTGGTGAATGCCATAATTTTACTCTTCTTTAAAGCTGAGTTGCTGAGAGCCACAGCCGAGTCGGAATGGCCCCTGGCATTTTGCCAATAGTATTGGTTGAGAGGCAAGCCATTGAGATGATGCTGGATCGATTCGGTTGTATATTAGACCTTTACTGTCCGCCTCAGCCTGCTACTTTGGAGTTCTTGTGCTACTTTGGAATTCTCGTGGGGATTCCCGGAGAGTTCCCATGGGTTGGGGAAGTGCGGGAGGAGGGATTTCCGGAAGAGGGATTTCCGGTTGTTGGTTCCTGGAGGAGCCGCGTGGCGTTCGGGAGAGTTCCCTGGGAGCGTGTGGAGTGTGCTGGTGGAGTTCAGAAATAAAGTTTGTTCCTGCTTCAGTGGCTCGTGATTTGTGCCCAGCCAGACTGCGGCACTGAGTAATATTCCATTGAGTATATACACCACATTTTCTTTATCCATTCATCTATTGAGGGACTAACCTAGGTTGGTTCCATAGTTTAGCTATTGTAAATTGAGCTGCTATAAACATTGATTTTTAAGTCCTTTGGGTATAAACCGAGGAGAGGGATAGCTGGATCAAATGGTGGTTCCATTCCCAGTTTTCTGAGGAATCTCCACACATATTGGCTGCACCAATTTGCAGTCTCACCAGCAATGTATGAGAGTACCGTTGTCCCCACATCCTCGCCAACACTTATTGTTGTCTGTGTTCTTGATGATTGCCATTCTGACAGGAGTGAGATGAAATCTTAGTTTTGATTTGATTTCTCTAATTGCTAGTGATGTTGAACCCTTTTTCATATATTTGTTGATCAATTGTATTTCTTCTTCTGTGAAGTTTCTGTTCTGTTCCTTAGCCCATTTATAGATTGGGTTATTTATTTGTTTGTTTGTTTGGTGTTGAGTTTTTTAAGTTCTTTATGTATCCTAGAGATTAATGCTTTTTTGGAGGTGCGTGTGGTAAAGATTTTCTCCCAATCTGTAGGCTCTCTCCTCACGTTATTGATTGTTTCCTTTGCTGAGAAGAAGCTTTTTAATTTGAATCATCCCATTTATTGATTCTTGATTTTACTTGCTTTTTAGGAGTCTTGTTAAAAAAGTCAGATCCTAGGCTGACATGGTGAAGATTTGGGCCTAATTTTTCTTCTTTTAGGTGCAGGGTCTCTGTTCTAGTGCCTAAGTCTTTGATCCACTTTGAGTTGATTTTTGTTCAGGGTGAGAGATAGAGGTTTAATTTCACTTTGCTACATATGGATTTCCAGTTTTGCCAGCACTATTTGTTGAATAGGCTATCTGTTCTCCAGTGAATGTTTTTGGCACCTTTGTCTGGTATGACGTAACCGTATTTATGTGGGTTTGACGCTGTGTCCTCTGTTCTGTATCATGGGTCTACGAGTCTATTTTGGTGCCAATACCATGCTGTTTTCGTTGCTGTAGCTCTGTAGTACAGTTGAAGGTCTGGTATTGTGATGCCTCCTGCTTCACTCTTCTTGCTAAGGATTGCTTTAGCTATTCTGGGCCTCTTATTTTTCCAAATAAATCTAATGATTGCTTTTTCTATTTCTATGAAGAATGTCATTGGGGTTTTCACAGGAATTCATTAAATCTGTATAATGCTTTTGGTTTTATGGCCATTTTGACAATATTAATTCTGCCTTATCCAGGAGCATGAGATATCTTTCCATCTACTGAGGTTTCTTCAATTTCTTTCTTTAGTGTTCTGTAGTTTTTACTGTAGAGGTCTTTCACCTCTTTTGTTAGATTGATTCCCAGGGTTTTTGTTTTTGAGGCTATTGTGAATGGGGTAGTTTTCCTAATTTATTTTTCAGTGGATTCATCACTGATAGTATAGGAATGCATTTGATTTACGGGTGTTGATTTTATATCCTGCTACTTTGCTAAATTCATTTATTAGTTTTAGAAGTTTTCCGGTGGAATTTTTGGATCTTCTAGATAGAGAATGATGTCATCAGCAAATAGTGATGGTTTGAGTTCTTCTTTACCTATTTGTGTCCCTTTAATTTCTTTCTTTTGTCTAATTGTTCTGGCTAGAATTCCAAGGATGTTGGATAAAGTGGTGAAAGAGGACATCCCTGTCTCGTTCCAGTTTTTAGAGGGAATGCTTTCAATTTTTCTCCATTTAGAATGATGCTGGCCTTGGGTTTGACATATATAGCTTTTACAAGGCTAATGTATGTTCCTACTTTGCCTAGTTTTTCTAGTGTTTCTAACACAGAGGTGTGCTGTATTTTGTCAAATGCATTGTTTTGCTAACGGCTCAGTTCAGCTTCTGTACCCCTGCTTGCTTGCTGCTATGCCAACTGGGGTATGGTTTTTGTGGGTTTTGCCTTTAATGATCCTAAAACACTCAGACTCAGGGCTATTCCTCACAGAGACAGTTATGAGTCCTGTAAGGAGTAGTCACAGGCTGGCTGGCTAAATAAAGACTCTCCAATTTGGACAAAATGGACTTGGTATATTTTCAGAGCAACCTGTCCCATAACAATTATATCTAGTAGAAGGACAAGTATCTATCTCTCTGCCCTGCCTATTGGACAAGCCAGCTTTGTACCTATCTGTAAATTCACTCCAGCATTCTTTCTCCTTTCATATTCACAAACATGAAGTCTCTGAATTGCCTTTCAAGTCTGTTGTAATACCTACGGATTCAAATTTTTCTGCTGTAAGGGATGAGGTGAACCAGAGACCTCGAGAACTGCCTGAGAGAGGTTAAATTATTATAGCATTGGAGAGGGTACTTTAAAAAGCTGTATCAAGGCCTAAAAGTGTTGTGACTTGTTTTCTATTTGTTTGTTTGTTTGCGGTGCTGGGGATGAAAAGCAGGGTTTCATGAACGCCAGGCAAGCCCTCTACCGCGAAGCCACAGCCCCAGTTCTGTATTGTTATTTTGAGACGGTCTCATTAAGTTGCCCAGGCTGGCCTCGAAATTCCCATCCTCCTGCTTCAGGCTCTCAAGTCTCAGGGTTTTAAGATTTTAATATCAGTTGAGTCAAGTTTTAGTGCCAGAAATTTATTCTAAAGAAATAATCATGGATGTACAGAAAGATTTAGTAATCTGGGTGTTCATTATATCCTTGATTAAAATGAGAAAATGTGAGATAAGCTAAATGACTAATGATGAGCTAACATGCATAATGTTAGGATAATAACTGGAAAGTGGTTGCAATATTCACTTAATTGAAAGAAGTAGGTTGCAAAACTATATAAAGGATCTCGTTTACTTTGTAGACTCCCACATGCATATCAGAATGAAAATATTAAAATGTTAATAGTGATTATTTGGGGGTGGGAGAATCATTTATATTTATGGAAACAACTAGCAATTCCCTATCACTATCGTTATCTATAATTGTAACTTCTTTCTTTCTTTATAATGGTTCTCAGTCCCTGTCCCACCGTGAGACCCAAGTGCCTTTGGATCACGGATCTTTCTGATCTACACCCTGCTGTGTCCTGAGGACTTACGGGCAGTACGCAGACCCTCAGCAGACTTGTTTGTATCTGTGAGTGAATACATTGTTTTCATTGTAAAAAGATCTACTTAAAATCCAACTCATTGGGCTGGGACTGTAGCTCAGTGGCAGAGCGCTTGCCTAGCTTGCATGGGTTCCATCCTCAGCACCACATAAAAATAAACAAATAAAATAAAGGCATTCTTTCCATCTACAACTACAAAAAAAGTTTTTTAAAAACCCAAACTCATCATGTGCATTATAGAGGGGTGGATGTGCATAGTCCCTGACACTTGTTCCTCCACAGGAACAAATATTGGCACCTTCTTCTAGAGGCTTCACCAAATCCCCCACCTCTGGGAAAACTGGGGTACCCACAGTGTGGCAGCCACAGTGCTGGGTCTTGCATGGCGGCCTTGGTGCTTCCTGCTGGCTTCCTGATGCCCCTGTCTTATCCCCTTGGGTGTGCCTGGGGAAGATTCCATCTGATTTGCCTCTGCCCAAAGCCACTGCCAATGCTTTGCACGTGGTGGGCACTCCATACCTGTAAATGTTCTGCACGAGCATTTTGTGACTTGTGTGTCGGACCAGCTATATGCTACTGAAAACCACCACATGCAACGAACTTCAGTTTTGTAGTTTGGGATCTTCAGGAAATATGCTGTCTCCAAGAAATGCCTAACACTTTAGCCAGGGCAAATGGCAGCCCGGGTTAAGACACTGACACTCTGCTATGGAGACGAGGGTCCATCCTCATGTTACCGCTTCGACTGAAGCTAATGGTCGGTAAAGAGGAGTGATGGGAGGAGAGGGGAGGGGATGGGGAGATAGGAAGGACAGTAGAATGAAACTGACATTATTATTACTGTGTGCATATACGTGACTGCATGGCCAATGTGATTCTGCAACCTGCACACTCAGAAAAATGATTCAAATGTATGATACGTCAAGGTCATTGTACCAAGGTCATTAATTAGTATAACTAATTAAAACAAAACAAAACAGAAAGGCACCTTTCCTCTGGGCAGCTCGGCGGCCCCCTTATCTGGCCTTTCTGTCTCCCGCGTTAGTTCAGCATTTCATCCCGCGTGTTGGGGGCGGCTCCCCGCTGCCCACCCTTCTCCCTCTTGGGTGGAAGAGGCTGCTTTGCTTTGAAACCCAGCGGGCAACAAGCGCAGAGGGGCCGGGCGCACGAAGGTCCGGCGTCCAGCCCGCGGGCTGGGCGGTGCGGAGTCGCGGCCGGGGCCCCTCTGCGCCGGGCGGGGGCCGGGCAGGTCGCGCGCCTGCGTGTCCGCGCGCGCCCGGAGCCGCCCCGAGCCGAGCCAGGGGGCGGGCGCGGCGGGCGCGGCGGGCGCGCGGCGCACTGGGGCCCACGGCGGCTGCGGGGCGGCGTTCGCGGCGGCGACCCGAGCGGGACAGCGCGGCGGCCCGAGGCTGGGGGCCCGCGGCCGCGCGCCGCCGGACGGGAGGCTGGGGGGCCGCGGCCGGGGCGCCGAGCGGGTCGGGGGCCGGGGCCGGGGCCGGGGCGCGGCGGCTCCGGCGGCCCGGGCGGCCCGGAGGGACCCCGGCGGGGCCATGGCAGCCGGCAGCATCACCACGCTGCCCGCACTGCCCGAGGACGGCGGCGGCGCCTTCCCGCCCGGCCACTTCAAGGACCCCAAGCGGCTCTACTGCAAAAACGGAGGCTTCTTCCTGCGCATCCACCCCGACGGCCGAGTGGACGGGGTCCGGGAGAAGAGCGACCCCCACAGTGAGTACCGTCCCGTCCCGGCCCCTGTCCCCGTCCCCGTCCCCGTCCCGGGCGCCCTCCCTGCCTGCGCCCCGCGCCCTCTCCTCCCTCTCCCGCCTCCTGGGACGCGTGGCTTCTTTCCGAGCTGCCGGGCTGCGGGTTCCCCGAGTGGACGGTCCCCCTGCGCCGAGCCGGGGGCGCCCCTCCCCTCGCGGGCCCCTGGTGGCGTCGCGATGCCGGAGGCAGGCGGAGAGCAGATCCGCGCTGGGGGAGCCGGCCGCGTCCCCATCGAGTGACTGCCTCCTTTCGGGTGCGTGCGGTGGTCCCAGGGTCCGAGACCCGAGGGACTAGGGCAGGATTAAGTGTTCTTCATTGGAAAATACCTTTCCCACGTCCTGCTGTTACATTCCGACTCAGTGAGACGCGAGGCATCTGGCATGGTACCCACCCGCGCAGGTTTCTTTCCCCCCTGATGAACGTTGAAAGAGCCCGAGCGAAAAGAGAGAAAAAAGATTCCGGACTTTGTTCGTAGAGTGCGACAGACCTTTTATTCAACAGTGAACAGACGTGCACAGCCCTAGCGTAACCCCCAAGTCGTTATCTTTGGAACCTTGATCAGCGCTTAACCGCTGAGCAGGTCCTTCTCCTTGGAGTGCTGCTAATCTACCCTTGCCTAGGTTCGAGGATGAAATGAGAATTACACTTCTGCTTTCTGGGAAAAGGATCTTTTTGTGCGTATAACATTGGCCTTGATCAGTGGTCGTCCAGCTCTAGGGTGCATAGGGAATCACCAGGAGGGTTTGCTATAAGGCCATTGCTGGACCCCATCCCCGGGAATTTCACGTTGGAGCGAGGGTTGAACACCTTCATTACTAAGTTCCAGGCAGTGCTGATCTGGGCACTGCCTGGAACTTGGAGGGCCTCTGGTAGGCCCTCCAAGTAGGAAGAAAAGGGCATAATTTACAACCCTTGGGATCTGAAGTGAGAGAGAAGAGACTGGAATCTGTTTTAAGCAGCCCTCTGCAAATAGGTAGAACATCTGTTTCAAGGCTCTGCGTCCTGGCATTCCTTCCTTTATGGTTCCAGGCAGACAACCAATCCTCTGTTCGCCTCAGAAAAGAGCAGCAAGGTCCCTAGCTCCCTTGCCCAGCAGCCCTGCCTTTATCTTGGGATGCTCAGGGCATTCCACTGACTCAGGAAGGAGGGGAAGGAAGAAGAGAAAGATGACCATCAAACAGGAATGGGAAAAGCACTTGTAGATTTGCTGTCTTTTCTTTATAAGTAAGTTTTTAAACTCATAAGAAACCAGAATCATGGTGGCATGATGTTTCAGTATATGTGCAATAAAAATTGTGTAATGTTTGAGTCAGGTCAAACATTTCTTCCTCTCAAACACCTGCCATTTCTTTATGGTAAAAATTTCCAAAATCCTCTTTTATAGCTTTGTGAAATGTGCAATACATTGCTGTCTTCTCTCATTACTACTGTATCGCTACTGTGCAACAGCACACCAGAATCTCTTGCTTCTATGAAACTATAAATTAGTATTAGTTGGGTATTTATTGCTTCCAAAATACCAACCAGTAGAAGATGAAGGTCATCAATTTTGGGGGGTGGGGGCTGCCATATTTTAAACAGCTGAATCACTATTTAGTAAAACTGAAGCTGCTTGTCACTTCATATAGGGGTTAGCACTGCTCCGTTCCGTTACTTGAGCAACCAGTTACCTTTGTTTCAAGCTTGCTCTGAAGTTGTTGGGCTGGCTCAGCTGATGGGCAAAGGTGTCTCAGTTTTATTCTTTTCTAGTATCTGTTGCTTCAGAAGCATGTTTCATGATTAAAGAACAGCAGAATTCCTCAGATTAGGTTCCTAATTGGGGCTTCACTTGATACTCTTTATTTTCTTTTTTTTTGAGAGAGAGAGAGAGAGATAATTTTTCAATATTTATTTTTTAGTTCTCGGCGGACACAACATCTTTATTTTATTTTTATGTGGTGCTGAGGATCGAACCCAGCACCCCGCGCATGCCAGGCGAGCGTGCTACCGCTTGAGCTACATCCCCAGCCCGATACTCTTTTTAATACTCTGTTATCATCTAGAGTATTTTGGATACTCCGGTGCATTGTTTTTTCTTTGAAGCTCTTTTCTTTCTTTCTTTTTTTTAAGAGAGAGAGAGAGAGAGAAAATTTTTTAATATATTTTTTTTTTTTAGTTTTCGGCGGACACAACATCTTTGTTTGTCTGTGGTGCTGAGGATCAAACCCGGGCCACACGCATGCCAGGCGAGCGTGCTACGGCTTGAGCCACATCCCCAGCCCCTGAAGCTCTTTTCTTTACAGTAGAACGACATACACACTGTGAGTAGGGGCAACTCGGAACTGCATACCACATTATCACCCTTAAACAGCCATCAAGGTTTTCTTCCCAACTGTGGCTTGGCTTTACATTTGCACTTTAACTCTGGTTCTTGAATGGGGCGTGGTGATGGTGGGGTGATGATTTTGCCCCCCAGGGTACATTCAGCAATGCTTGGAGAAGTCTGTAGTTGCTGTACCTGGCAAGGTGCCCCTGGACGGTGGGTAGAGACCAGAGTACTGTTGAACCTCCTGCGCGCACAGGATAGTTCCAGCAAAAAAAAAAAAAAAAAAAATGGCCTCACCCAAATGTCATGCCCCATTCTTCAGAGTGTTTTGTCTCATTGATCTGAAAAGCTGTCATTTGGAGATGTATTCCTTTGACATGACACTTTCTGCCCAGATCTTCTAAAATGCTAATGTGCTGAGTTGTAAACTCTTAGGACTGTACCTAGCCAAGACAAGATGTCAAAAGTGAAGTGTAGAGTAGCATATTGAGATTTGTGTAGGCCAAATTTTTTAAAAGACCCTTCTTGCTAGATAATAGATGGACAGGATCACAGACCTGCATATGATGGCTTTAAACATTTCTGTGTGGTCCAACTTGGACAGGAGCTTGAGGGTGCCTGTCCATCTGTGGGATGTCCTTGGATGCAGATCAGGAGACCCCCAGGAAGGATGGCAGGAAGAAGACAAGTATGGACAGCACACGCTCCCCAGACAGACTAGCCAGCAAACAGGAGAATTAAAAGCAGAGTTAGTGGCAGCCGCCATTTCCCACTTAGCTGTGGCTCATCGCTGCTTGTTTGAAAAGTTGAAAAACCCCGTGCCCCATTCTTCAGAGTGTTTTGTCCAGTTGATCTGAAAACCTGTCATTTGGAGATTTCTTCCTTTGACATGACACTTTCTGTCCAGATCTTCTAAAATGCTAATGGCCGAGTTCAACCATTTTTGAACTTGAAGTATGAGTGCAGTTCTTACCCCAGGGCAGAGCAGGAGTGGAGTTTGGACAGGGTTGCTTCGAAGACTGTGGTGTAAATAGTGGGTGCCTGGTGGGTGCGGGTGTGGGGCAGGGAAACTGTGAAAGCAGAGACAGGAGGAGAGGACCCAATGCACACTTGTCCCGCTGCTCCGTGTTGCTGAAATCCGTTGGAGTCACTCTGGGTATTTCCATTTCCTGGCTGGTTTCATCGCCCTGCAGTGCTCTTCATTTGACTGAGCCTTGATAGAAGCAGAGGTCAAAGGGCTGCAGCGTCCAGCATGTGTGCTGCCCTTGGCTGTCCTGGTGGCTGCTGGATCTCAGCAGGCCCCCTCTCTGGCCATGGGCGTGTAGTGTACTGGGTGTGCTCTGAAGCTGCGAAGCTGGCGGCAAACACAGGAGAGAACATTTGATCCCAAGCAGTACGTCCATCCTGTACTGCAGCAGTGGGTGAATGCATGCTGCCTATGTACATGTTAGCGTTCGATTTATTCCAGATGTTCTCCTAGAGGCCCAAAACGAGGCAGTCAGAAGGGCTACATCTGCCCTGGGCTTCTCCCTGGAGGTGACTGCCTGCCGTTCACACTTCTCTGCTTCCAGGCACCGGAGGACATCAAGGCTTGGAGAGACCCAGGGCCTACCCCTCCTGCCTGGAGAAGGGGTGGGGTCCTGGGTGGCGAGTCCCTTCTCTTTGACACTACACGTGCTCTAGGAAACACAGTTCATAACATCACGGGACGTGAAACTCAAAGGGAGCTCCAGACCCCTAGCTCACCTGGAGATTGAGTTCAGGAGGGGTCCCCTTGTCTGAGTTCCCCTGTGGATTCACCTCCTGCCCACTTCTTGCCCACCTGGTCCTGGACCTCTGGTCCTGCCTCCCTACCCTCCGGCTCCCCTCCTTCAGTCAGAGCATCCCTGCGCCGTTGGTGGGGCTTCCGCCCTTTCTGGGTGCTGTGCTGCCCAGCCCTTGGGAGTTTCTGCTAGCTCAAGGTTCTTCCGGTTCTGTCCGGACTTTGGGCAAAGCCACCTTACCTTCTCATATTGCCCCTGTGTCAGCGGGACCCTTCGTTTAAGGACACTCGCCCTCACCTTCCTTGGTGATCTCTCTAGGTGATCCCCCTAGTTTGCCTTAATGAACATGATGTTTACTGAATACTGTTTGTATGTAGTCAACAAATGGAATCAGAGTCTAATAGCGTATTTAATGCTGGAAATCACGTAATCGGTCCAGCAACGAAAGGACAATTCATGAGTCACAGATGTTACCACACCTTGGAGTCTTTAAGACGCCTTCTGTGCCAAGTGACTTCAGCCCAGGGAAGGCAGCGGCCCTCACGACATGCCCTGAGGGCTCTTGCTGGTGGTTATAAAATAGCCATTATGTAAGAGACCTCAACAGTGCTAGACCTCCACAGTGCTGGGCTGTTGTCAGAGATCCCCGTTTTGATTTATGATGCTGTTTTACTCTGATGGTCATACTTTTAAAGTTTTAATTTGAAAATAAAATGTTTCAGCTGTAAGAAACAAACCCACCATTCTTTATGCATTATAAGCCAAAACTGGCTTTGTGTACTTATTGATTCTGAGAACCTGCAGTCAGCGATGCTGACAAAGGCCACTTAAGGTATCACTTGTTGCCACCGCCGTTCCCAAGTGCAGGAGGCTCGTCCACAGTGTGGCAGCATGTG